GTAACAATCCTGTACCTACATTAGTCAACAGTTCTTAAAATTATCAGTGAAGCAGGGGTTGCTTCTCAGAATCACCATTTGGTAAGCACCTGTGAAGAGCTACCAGAAAGGATATGATAGACTAAAATAGTAAATTAATTGATGTCTTTGTCTTTTAGTTTTGGTCTTTGATGGTGAAAATTTAACAAGCATAAAGCTCAGTGTCAAAGCAAGAGAATTTCTGGGGGCCAGATGCTTTCCTATGAGTTTTTCATATTTCTAATCTTGATTTCCTTTTTCTCTTTCCATTCAGGATGAAGAAGCAGTCCTGGACTACTTTGTTTGCTGTGGTAGGAACACAAACTGGAGATGGATTTTGATCTGACTGGTACACAACGATGTCTACAGGATGAGGCTGAGTACAATACAGGGGTTTCTTCACTTTTGTGCTGGCTGGAGATGCACCACCCCAGAGCACAAACTTGTCTTTGCTTGGGTTCTCAGGGGGATTTAATGCACATTACACAGCATGAATACTTTGTAAGACCAAAGCAGCTCTGCTTACTGATGTCCTTGATGTGGTCCATGAGGATTGGTTCTATTGATTAGCACTAAAATGCTGTCTCTGCCTATTTTTGCCTATTCCAAAGAAGGTTCTGCTGGCTAAAGCCAAACAAAACATTTTGTACCATTCCACCCAGGTAGCTGCAATAGCTTTGATGTAAATCCCTTGTGATTTCCCTGTGGCATTACTTTTGCCACGTTCCTGGACTCCCTGAGCCTGACACTAAGCACAAGTATTTTGACTGTAACAAAAGGGGTGAGTTCACCAAGTATTGCTTCACAAGGAGGAAATAAAATAAGATAAAATAAAATAAAATAAAATAAAATAAAATAAAATAAAATAAATTCCCACTTGTGCTTTGCCCTAACTGACGGTGTCTAGACCTGTGACAATGACGTGGCTGCTGCTGGCAGCCACAGCTGACAATGCTCTGGTGGGTGTGGAGCATCAGGCTCAGTGAGTTCATGGTAGGTATCTCTGTGGACTCAGCTTTCTCTTGTGCAATTGCAACGAAATTCACCACCTGAGCTATGCTATGCAGGACTACTCATTCAGCTGGCACAACCTCCCTGGCTGAGGAAATGCTGTTTATGTGAATAAGGGCTGTGGAGCATCTTTGCTGCCCCTTCAGAGCTCCAGTGACTTGGCTAGGAAGTTGCATTTGATGAAGCATGTCCCTAAAGTGCCATTGACACACTTACTTGGGTGCCACTTGAGTTTTTCACACTCCAGGAGCATTCAGGCATTGTCCAGCTGTTGCTACACTTTTAGACAGGCTACCTGCCAAAGATAAGTCATTTTAATGATAAATGAGACAGCAAACTTTTGAGATTTTTTTTTTCATCTTTTGCTGTCTTTGCTGGAGAAGAGTTGCTGCTGAGAAGAAATGCTTATTATGCCAGCAAGAATACTTGTCTAACACAAACAGTTTCTCCAGTAGAGAAAAGTTTTTGCAGCCTCTGTTAATTTTTAATGTGGCTACAGCTTTTGCTCTTAATATAACAAGGCTTCTTGAAGTATATGTTCTAAGTCACTAGCAGCTCATTGCAAATGCCAAATATAAAATAATTAATAAGAAAATTTACTCCCAAATTAAAGAAAAATGTAATGGCCCAGAAATACTCTCATTAATAATTCTGTAGGCCAGTAGAAATCAAAAGTCATGAATTAGCCCTGTCCTGTTCCTCCCCTAAGCCACAGCTTAAAAATAAGGAGTCATATTTTTGTGGTTAAATAATTCTGAATTATTTTGTGCACTTTGTGGTAACTTGAGTTTGTATCTCATAGTTGGATCATGTTTTCAATTATGATTTGAAGTCCCCACAACAGCTGCAGATTTCCTGTTTAAGGAAAGCCAAGATTCTCCTGCACCTGACCCATTGTGGGTAAAGAAATGAATTTTGTTACTTTGCTAAAAGTGCAGGTGTTGGCTGCTGTGAATACAGGTGGTACGTTTCAAAGACAAACAATAATCTACAGAATCAAGCAATACACTGGACTGACTGTGAAATTTTATCTTCACGTGCTTTTGAATTACTTTTTTGTTTCCTAAAGCATTTTGCCAGATAAATACTCTCTTTCCTCCCTTTGCATTAAGATTTTGCATCTTAAATATTTTTTCTACTGCTGTGCTTCAGGAAAAATTTAAGTTCTTGTATGCCACAATCCACCAGGACTAAAAATGAAGCTAAAATTTCTGATACAAAAGCAGAAAACAGCCCAAGAGGTTTATGAAAAGGCCATAGGAAACCCAGCTTTAGTTGCAGCAGTATTATTAAATTCAAGCCTCAAACAGAAGAAACAGGTGGGCATAGCAAAGGGTCCTTTATCCAGCATTACCTGGGGAGAGTGAGGATGCTTGTGTAGCTCCCTGCTGCTTGAGCTCTTTTGGTACAGCACTGTGCTTCAGCTGCAGAGCTGTGCAGGCACAAACCTGGCTGTATGCTGTGCCTAAATTGGGGAGGGGGTGGGGGGCAGATCTGCACATCTACACGTGGGAAGCAAGTTATCACCTGCAGCCTGCAAGACAAGCACATCACCCTCACACATGAAGGCCCAGTTTTGCCCTGTGGTTTCCCCAAACACCCCCCTCCCTGCATCTCTGTGTAGCTGTTGCTCAAACAGGAACTGTTTTGCCTTCACAGCCTTTAGCAGATGATGCTTTAATCTCCCTTTGGCATCTTCCTGCCAGTTGCCAATGCAGCCATGTGCACATCTGAGAGCAAATTTTCTAGGACAGAACTGGGAGGTAAAATGCTTTCCCTATTTGTTTTCTTTCTGCTTTCATCCTAGCTCCTCCTGCTCCCTTCTCTGACCCCTTTTTATACCCTCCCCACCTTTTGCTGGCCTCTGACTGCAAAAGCAAACTGGTACTTGTTGCTGGTGCTAGGACCCTTATATAGGTCAGCCCCTGTGAGTCAAGAGTCTGAGCTGCAGTCAGCCTGCAGCTGCTCCATGATGCAGGAGGGTTATTGGGCTTACCACTTCTTGTGCCACTTGCCCCTGCCTCTCTTCTGCTTCCTTGGCAGATCCAGAAGGGCCATGCTGTGCCAGCCCACCTGGCTGCAAGCTGCACAGAAATCCCTGGTTTGTCAGTCTGGGAGCCCAAAGCAACTGAAAGACCTTTCCAGAGCCACAAGCATGGGGCTTGTCCTACTGCTGGGAAATGCTTCTGCACAGTGTCCTTTCAAGCAGACATCCAGAGGTGCAGTTTAAAATGTCACTTGGAAATGCTCTGTGCCTGCAGATGGAAGGGAGGAGGTGGCATCTGCCAGCTGCTGGGTTGCCCTGAAAGGCTGTTTTGTCCACTGTGAGACCCCCTTGCCCTCTCCAGAGATTCAGGTCCATACAAGAGTTGCCTCACCAGAGAGAAAAAGGTTGAATGATGCAGAGCTGCCCTCCTTGTCACGTTCCTTCTTGGCTTGCTTAGGCATTTTTGAAACTCCTCTGAGCCCCCCACACAGTGTTTTGTAGGGTCCTTAGAACTGAAAATCAGTCTCAGCATGAGCCTCAGCCCCTCTCCTATCAGCTTTCAGTAACAATAAATTGAAAGCAAATCCAAATCTTTGCCCCATCAGAAACCGCAGCTGCAAAGCTGTCCTATTGTTTCATAAGCTACTTTTATTTTTGAGCCTTCAGACCTGTGGCACATTCTCTGCAAAGGTTAAATTCAAAATTTGCTGCACAAGCATAGTGAGAAAAGTCTGTTTCTCAGCATACTTGTGAGTCCCCAACCCCCTCCAAAACAAAATGGAAGTGTCTCTGGTTCAAGGCAGCCTACACGGCAGCGAGCTGCAGGAGCTCTAAGCTATTATTTTAGTTCCCAAGAAAAGTAATTACTATAGCAACCAACAAATCCGAATGGCTCTTTGGCTGCTGCCGAGACACAAACAACTTGCACACAAAGGCACATCAGAAACATGCTGTGTAAAATGTTCTCGAGTAGCTCTGTGTTTTCCAGAGCTCTATAAAGTGTGTGTAACAGGCTTCTGAGAAATGACTGCCAAAACAACAGTGAGCAATTGTGCCGTGCCACAATCCCAAAATAACCTAATCAATGGCTCAGTATATTTGCCCCTGAAGAGATGAAGCAAAAAAAAAAGCAGAGGCTCCATTTTAAGCCTGTGTGCCGGGAAGTTCCCAGCAGAGCTGAAGATACATTCAACAAACAGACAATAAAATGGTGGGGGAACGTCTCTGCTTTTGTTCTGCCTGCTGATTGCTGATTCCAATTCCCTGCAGGCTTCATGTGCCAGCTCATCCCCTTGGGCTTCTACAGAGAATATTGGAAAAAGGGATTTAATTACAGCCTTGTAATGCTGGAGGGTGTGAGAAGCAATGTCTGTGTTCCTTTCTGTGTCTGTGCAGCAACCAGCCCCCACAGATCACATCTCCAGCTGCAGTGCTGGGCACAGCACTGCTGCTCTTACTGAACAAGGAAGTTTCTTGAGCAACAGCAAGCTGTAACCATTGGCATTGCTTAACTATTACAGCGTTTGGAGTGTCTCTGTCACATTCAAATCAAAAATGCCACTGGTGTGATAACAGCTTAAGAGCTCCTGGCCTCTGCCTGCAAAGCTGCGCCACTTCATGGTGCTGAGACAAACACCGTGGGTTCCCCAAAACAAGAGATCTGGTCCAAAAAACCTGGGCCAGGAGTATTGTCAAAGTTTCCTCACATGACACACACGCTATCACCTGTCTCGAGGATGGTGAGTGGCATTAACATCCTTCTCCTGTTCCATTGCAGAAGGCAGCTGTGATGAAAATGGAGGTTATGGGTCTGGGTAACTCAGAATAGAGTTGGATCCTATAAGTGAGCACAGCACATCAGAAACCTGAATTGCCCTTTAAAATAATTTTCCTAATCAGTTGAGTCCTCAAATCTTGCTCTGTGTCCAGAATGAACTGAAAATCACAGCTGGATTTAACATAAAGACAAAATGAAGGAAGGAAATGTAGTGATGTAATTTATTACAGAAGTGCCTGATGACCAAATAAAAAGAGATCTCATAGAGACAGAGTTTTGGTTGACTGTAGCCTTTTAAGCAAAGTTACTTTATTTTGGATTAAAGAAAATCATGGGGGGGAAAAGGAAAGTATTTTGAAAAATATATTGAAAAAATAAAAGTATTCCTACAAAAATAGCATAAGCATGTATAATATCCAATGCTTCACTTCTGTTATGCAAAATGGTAGCTGCCCTGCAGGCACTTGGAATTTCCAGGCTCCTGGTCCCAGGTAAATAAATTCTCCTCTGTAATTTTTCTCATAACAACTTTATAGTGATAGGAGTTGACTGTATGTTAAATGGCTCCCTAAAAAAAAAATAATTAAAAAAAACCCCAAAAAAACCCAAAACAAACAACAAAAATAACAAATTTCCTTTTCACAGTGTGCCTTTTTACCAGCTTTGTGGTGGGGGAAAGACAGGATCACTCACAGGCTGACTTCCCAGCTTGCCTCTTGCACTAAACAGAAATATCTTGCCTGGTGTAGAGGAGCTGGGAGCAGTGGGACCAGGCACAAAACCTGCATTCATGTCACTCTTTTTTCTATACCTGCTGTGATAGAGCAGATAAATCCTTGTTCCTCACCAGCATTTTGCATTTTGGCTTGGGAAAGGCTGCTGCATTTCCAAGTGTGAGAGAGGGCAGATAAGGACTAGAGAGCTGATGCACTACCCCACTGTTTTTGCAGAGCTGCAAGGCAGAGAAGTGAAACCAAAGTCTGAGAGATGAATAGCAAGCTCTTCTGAACACTCCCTGGCTGTGGAAGTGCCCTGCTGCCAATGCCAGGTGTGTTCAGGCCCAGTACTGCAGTTTTCTTCTGGAATGAAAGAGGAGAAAATGAAAGGAGCTTGCATTTGACCATCAGTCTAAGCAAAACTCAGTGTCACAGTGAAGAAGGCCCCAAAACCCCACTTTTTTAAAAGCAGGAATGACTAAAAAGAAAATCCAGTGTGGTGAGATGCTGAACACGACTTGTATCCTGCCCTCCCCCTTGCTCACCTCCCCCAGTCACCAGCAGCAGAGGGGCAGGATGAATGTGAAGGTCAGCCAGGAGAAATCCTCAAAGTCATGGAGCAGGATTCTTGGAATACCTTGCTCAGATCCTAAAGCTGACATTGCTCCTTACTGTTCTCTGCAGGATTCAGGCTTGTGCAAGCTGGTTTCAAGTCTATCTGCCAGCTTGAAAATCGTGTGGTTGGTTCATGAACAGATTGGTCTCTGGTATTTCTTTTGCAAGCACACAACCTTAGATGGTCACTGGGGCTCGAGTGGTCTTGTATCTGTGAAGGGAGGTGAGAAAATCAGTGTTCATGACTGTTACATCAGACAAAGAGGTGGATCTGGACCTTTTCTGGTGTGAATCAGAGAAGTAAATCAAAATGGCACCTCCTCTTGTGTTAAAACCCCCACAGCTTAATGAAATCTTATCTTTGCAGAGCAGAAATGCTTCCTGTGTCTGGAGAAGTACATTAAGAGAGAGGTGTTGAGGGAGCTGAAGTGCTAAGGAGTGAACTTCTGGAAATGCTCTGCACATGAAAACACTCCATGAATCAGTTATAAATGAGACTGACCTCTCATCCATCCATCCATCCATCCATCTGGAGCATTCCTCGCTTCAAAATTTGGGCTGCTCCCTATCCTGTCTCATATGGGAGGTGCTATTGATGAGCAGAAAAAAGGTATGTTTGCTTCAAATGTTTGTGGATAGAGAGCACAGGTTGTGAAGGTGCAGAAGGAAACACAGGAACTGCCTTTGCTAACAAAGAAATGCAGATTTCCAAACCATCTCTGCCCAGCCCTCCGTGGGAGGTTTGGTTTCTGTGTTTGCTTGGAATTTGTAGTCGGTCTTGTCAAAAGATGATGGCTGTGTTGGAAATAATTATTTAGCAAACTCTGGTTGGCCGATTAAGTCTTTTTGGTGGGAGTTATTGGTTCTTTGAACAAATTTTGAAAATGGGCCCTCATGGAAATACAACCATACCAAATTGCAGTGAGGTGTTCTTGGGCCTTGACCACTAGAGAGGTCAAAAATGTGCACATACATCACTTCAATGTTGCTTGGGTTTTCCCTTGCGGACTGAAAATACCTGCAAAGACAGGCAGAAGTTGGCATTTCAGAAGATGATGATTTTTAATGGAGTCTGGGTCAAAGCCACAGCTTTGATAATAACAGCACCCTGGCCAGCAAATGTCCTGAGCCTGATTTCCAGCACCATGAGCAGGTGCTGTCTTGTGTCTCTTGTGGAGGGGCTAAGGGAGGGCACAAGGGGAGGAAACAGCATTTTGTCGTGCCACGCTTTGCACGGGCCTTGAAAGCCGTGCCGGTGTGATGCAAGTGGGCGAGAGAAGCTGCTGGAGGAAATGCTCCGGCCCCCGAATTTGCGAGGTGGTGGCTGGGCTGCCTGGCCTGGCGGCTCCCGCAGCCTCGCTCCCTCCCCTCGGCATCCTTCCCGCTGCCCCCGGCACCCTTCCCACTGCCCCTCGGCATCCGTCCCGCTGCCCTCGGCATCCTTCCCGCTGCCGCCGGCATCCTTCCCGCTGCCCCCAGCATCCTTCCCGCTTCCCCCGGCACCCTTCCCGCTGCCCCCGGCATCCTTCCCGCTGCCCCCGGCATCCGTCCCGCTGCCCTCGGCATCCTTCCCGCTGCCCCTCGGCATCCGTCCCGCTGCCCCCGGCACCCTTCCCGCTGCCCCCGGCACCCTTCCCGCTGCCCCCGGCATCCTTCCCGCCGCCCCCGGCCCCGTCCCGCCGGCCGCTGCCCCGCGGTGACCGACGTTGAACTGTCACAACCGTTCCGCGCTCCGCTCCGCCGGACACGGCACGGCTCCGCCCCGCACGGGAAGCGAACAAGGATTGTTCTGGCTGCCCTTTGGAGCTGGGAGTGCTCCTTTCCCGCCGCCATTGCTTCTTCGTCCTGAGCGTCCTTCCCGAGCGGGGTTGCGGCTCCCGCCGGAGGTGCCTGTGGCCGGCTTTTAGGGAGCGATGACGACGGTGCGGAGAGAGGCGTTCGGGCGGATGCCCCCGGAGAAGGGAGGCGAAGAGGTGGAGAAGTTCGTCCTACAGTCGGACAGCGTGAGAGTGGAGATCCTGTCTTTTGGGTGCATCATCACCACTCTGGAGACAAAAGACAGGGATGGGAAGTTTTCAGATATTGTCCTAGGATTTGACACTTTAGAAGGTGGGTCTTAATACGTTTCTTTGAAAAAAAAAAATTAAAAACCCACAATCAGACAGTTTAACCAGCACTTACTGGTTTATTGCCACACTGCCTGACCTGCTTGTAAGGCGCCCCCCCCTCCAATCATGGGCTGAAGAGATGCAGTTTCTGCTGCCTCTCCTGGGCTCTGTGGTGGACGTGGAACAGGGACACTGGTGGCAGTGTTCCACTCTGTTGGGGCAGCTCTGAGTCATTCCTTAACTGGCAGTGACAGAGGCCTTTTCTTCAAATCTGCAAAGAATACAAGATCCCATCAGGCTGTGTTAATCAAAGATGCTCACAACTAATGAGCTGTGTGTCCTGTGAAACGCTGGGACTGCAGTCACCTATTTAGCGCTGGAGAGAAGCAGAGAGGGACACTTTGGGTCCATAAGCAGGATGGGGAGGTCCTGGAGACTGCCCATCCCATTCCAGTGGTTCTATTTAACTGTGTGCTGTCTCTCTGGCCAGGTTACACAGGGAAGCACCCGTTCTTTGGTACTGTCGTGGGCCGCGTTGCCAACAGGATTGCAAACGGGAAGTTCAGTGTGGACGGGAAGGAGTATCAGCTGTTCATCAACAACGGGCCCAACAGCCTGCATGGGGGAGCCAAGGGATTTGACAAGGTGAAAATCCCAGTGTCCTGTCAGCATACAACCTGTGGGGCCATGGCAAGAGTGTGTGATGTCTGCACCCCTGAGCCCTGTAGCATTTTCTGGTGGTTACTGAGTTGATCAGGTTACTGAGTTAATCAGCTCAGAAAGTGCTGTGAGTGCAGAAACAGGGGGAAGTGAGACAGATCCTGCAAGCTGCTGGGTTGGCTTGTCTTTGCCTGAGTTTGCAGGACTCACTTATGTCATCCTTGGATGCTGAGCAGAGGGTTGCTGTGCTTCCTCTGTGTGACTGCAGCCCTGAGCCTCATGAGCCCCTGAGTTCTGACAGGGTTGTTCTGGCCAAGGTGCTGCTTCTGCACAGCCTAGGCTGGGACATAACAGTGTGGACCTACCCTCAGGAGCAATGGAGGCTCCCCAGGCACCAGCTGCACCACCTGGAGTGCATCATGGAGTTGTGCAAGTGCCCAAAGAAAGTGTTCTGGGGAACAGTGGTCTGTCCATGCAGACTCATTTCCACCTGCAGTTTCTCGGCTGTTACCTGCCCATAGCTCCTCCCAGAGTCAGAAGGACATGAGTTTGCAGAAACTTATCATTGTTGCTTGCCTGTGACAGCACTCCCAAGTAAGGTGAGAGCAGGGTGGTGCTGCAGGTTCAGTCATTGCATTGCCCCCTTTGGTGCCTCTTTCATCCTGCAATATGTCCCCCAGGCTCTCACTCTGACTCACAGCAGAGGGGGATTAGATCAGGCCTGCAAAATGCCCCAGGATCCAGGATCACTGTCTCTCCTTCCCAGCCCTCCCCTATAACCTCCTGTGATGAAACAACCTTTCCCTGGCCCCAGGGCACTCAGCATTTTCTCTGTCCTCCCAAGAGCTGCTGCTCAAGTCAGGTATTTGTGTACAGATGGTAAGAGCAGTGGAGGATCTCTTCTCTTGAAAGCCTTGCTGATATCCCTGCTCCATTGCAGAGCAGGCTCAGAAGTTTCTGCTTTCCTGAAGCCTTGGGTTTTGTTGGATCAAATGCATTTGTAACCAGCAAGCAACAGATCCACCATTTCCCCTAAAGAGCACATGAATGTGCTGGTGCAACTGCTTTCGTGGGTTTAATGGGATTTTTTTTTGTGAAAGGAATCCAGGCTGATGAGAAAAAAGTCAGGGTGCCTGAAAAAAAAAATCACAGTGTGAACTGGCATCAGGTTGGGATGAAATGCTCCTCAGCAGCCTTAGAAAAAAGGGAGTACTGGGGATAGCTTGGCTGTTGTATCCCCAAAGAAGACAGTTTGGTTGGTTTAAAGTTTCTTTATACAGCCTGACACCTGTGATCTGCAGCTGAAAGCATGCATTTCCTCACACCCAGGGCTTCCAGACTGTCTTCTGCAGGCAGGGGATGCGGTGTCTTCTTCTGCTTCTTCACCGTGCTTGCTTGCTGAAGTCTCACCAGCTTGCTGGGGACAAGGTAGTGACATCTCCCAGCTGGAGCTTGGTGTCCTCTGCTCCACAGGGCATGCTTGGACACCTGCCCAAGACCCCCTCCAGCCAGGAAACATTCACTGTTCAGAGACAGTGAGCCCTAACTGGTCTACCCTAACAAAGACCACATACTGGCATTTGGCTGTGATTATCTTGGTCATCTTCTGAGCTTTTCCTGATTTTGCAGACATCAGTGCTGCGGTCAGTGTGTGGTCTGATGAGAGCATCTTGCAGCTGCACTTACAGGGCTGCAGTGTGTGACCACACTGCTGGGGGATTTTTGAAAATAACTCTCTTATCTTAGAAAAAAAATAGTGATACCTGTACATTTCCTGGACTTTAATAGCTTTTTTTTCAAAGGACTTAAATAGAAACTCATACTTAAAACCCGCAGCATCCTTACTGTAGCCATGGGAGCTGCAGTCAAACTGCACGCTGAGTAGGAGGGCCTACTCTGCAGCCAGGTGTTATTTGTCACCCTCAGATTCTGTGTTTGGTGAAAGTGCTGGCTTTTCACCATGCCCCCATATTGGTGATCTCTGTGTAGGACACGAGAGGGATCAACTCAACAGCGTTGAGCTGGCCCCTGTTCCTTAATCTGTCCACTTTGCTTAGACAGTAACTATTCCTCAGGGAAATGTGAAGGTTCAGAGAGCCTCTTGTTGCACATCCATCCTCCCAGCATGAGGCCCATGGCCAGGGCCAAACAGGCTGTCTGGGCAGCTGTGTACAGTGTGCTGGCTTGCTTCCCTTGCCAGCATGTTTGGCTCCAAGCTGAGCACTGGTGCTGGCTGCTGGCAACGACAAGAACCAGAGAGGTCCCAGCTCTCTGGATGTGTCTGACAGCATATCTGGTGCTGTTTAACCCAACCCCAGCCCCTGGGCAGGAGCCCCCACTGTGTTCTTACACTGTCCTAGTGCCAGTGCTGGGTGGCAGCTTGTTGAAGTGGTGTTGCACATGAGAAAATCCGTGGAAAGGGAGATAAGTCCAGCTGCAGGGCAAAAATCAAACATGTGGACTCTCAGGCATGGCATAACACAGGCTGGAACAGACCCCCTCAGACTGCCAAATTGCCTCCTTTGTTTGGCTGCTCCGTGGAAAGCTTGTTCCCTGCTGGTGGTCCTGGCTGACCAAGTGCTTGTGTTTTATTTGGAAAGGTAATTGAAAAAAGCCTTTGTTTCAGTGCAACATCCCTTGTGTGCCTTTTGTCCCTGTTTTTAGGCCATCCTGGGGCAGGAGGGAAGGGCACTGTGCTCCCATTCCTGTCCCACCAAGGCCATGCTCCATGCAGGTTCTCTGGAGCGCCGAGGTGCTCCCAAATGGCGTCCGCTTCTTCCGGCTCAGCCCCGACGGTGAGGAAGGCTACCCTGGTGACCTGAAAGTCTGGGTCACTTACACCCTTAGTGGCAGGGAGCTGGCCATCAAGTACCAGGCCCAGACCAGCAAGACAACCCCCATCAGCCTGACAAACCACTCCTACTTCAACCTGGCAGGGCAGGTAAGTGTGGGGAGATGGGCCCTGTGGAGACACACTGTGCATAGGAAGACAGCCTGGGGACCCATGGGATGGTCATTGGCACCAACGTGCTGGTCTGGGGACACATCATTCTTTTGAGGACACAGCAATGAAGGTTCTCTCTGTGCATCATGGGCTGCATGCAGGAACAGGACTAAATCATGTTGGTCTCAGCTGAGGACACATTGTCTCAGGATTTCTTGAACAGAGACATCCAGCTGAGCATGTTGGTTCTCCTTTTGTGTGTAACTGGGGAATTTTGCTCTCTCCTCATCTCTTGGGAAGACTAAGGAGGAGGTGCTGAGCTGGCATGCCCTAGTGGTGGCCTGGCATTTCTTAGTTGTATTCTGTTGGCATTTCTGAGAGGGTGATGCAGGTTGAAATCAGGGCCTGGAGTGGCAGCACCAAAATACCCAGGTCAAAATGGGCAGAAGAAATATCACAGAGAGGGGTGTGAGGTAGCCAGGACTGCAGACTAGCAAGGTTGCAGCAGCAGGACGCAGAGAGCTCCCACACACCTGTACAGGGTCATGTCAACCATACAAGTGAATTGCAGCTGTGTTTTAATCTCACAGTTTATAACTGGGCTTGGAGGAAAAGGATCTGAGAAATAAAGTGTTGCTGGGCAGAGCCATAGGATAATACAGTGCAGTCACACTTGGGTGTGAGATAAAGGCTCTTAAAAGTGTTTGTGAGAGACAACTCAGCCCCTCTGAGCAGGAGCCATGCCCAGGCTGCTGCCCTGAGAATGGCTGTGCAGTTGTTGGTGCTGGTGCTCCCAGGGGTGCAGTAATACCAACACTTGCAGTGTGCAACTCAGGCGTGTTCCACAGGAACAGGAGACCTTTGGGCACGAAATTGCTGCTCAGATTACATGGTGACCTGAAGGCTCAGCTTTGAGCCTGCTCCCCTTCCAGCCCAGCAGGTTCCTTGCCAGCATTCCTGAGGCTGTGGAAGAGGAGGAGCACACCCCTGCAGCAATGCAGATGAGACAGGAGGATGGGTTGCATTTCCCCTTGCTTGCTTCCTTCTCCTTCTCCCTGCTGCTGTGTGCTCAGTACCCAGCATGTTTTGGCTAGTCCATCTGCAGGGTGGTAGCCCTCAGTGAGGTACAAGTACAGACTGATGGCCTCATCCCTGTGGCATTTACAGCTCCTAGGGCCCATGAAGGTTTTTGTCCAGGCTAGTACCTTTGTCCTGTGCCCAAGATCAAGATGGAATGAAGGCCAGGAGGTGCTCCAGGCACTACCAGATCAGCTGGGGCACCACTGTGGACTATCACTTCACAACTGTGCTTAGGGCTGCTTGAACAGGAATCCCAGCATTTCCCATCCTCCTGCAGGGCTCCCGGGATATCTATGACCACCAGATCTCCATTGAAGCAGATTCCTACCTGCCTGTGGATGACACCCAGATCCCTACTGGTAGGTGGTGCAGCACTTGTGGCACCAGGTGGAGGTGATCTTTCTGAGCAATGTTGGTGGGTGTGGGGAGCAGCACTGCCTGGCAAGGGGGACACACCAGCAGCCAGGGGACCCCAGGCACAGCAGGGCCCTCACCTTTGGGTGCAGTGCCACTGCACATGTGCCCCACTTCTCCCTGCTGCTTTCACCACGGAGCTGTTTCACATCTTAGTTGTGGCCAGCTTGCTACCCCTGCCTTTTGCAGTTCCTTCTTGTGTGGGTAGTCTTAGTCTTGGGGTGAAAATAAGATTTGTGCAATTGTTAAAGACAGACTCCTTGTGTGCAATACCTGCTGTATTTTATGTAAATGCCTGAATTGGAACATTTTCATTTTTTTTTCAAGGCACTTATTCTGCCCTCCATGCAAAACCCCTCACCTTTGGGTTGGGGTGACTGTTTTGCAGTGGGCTTAGTATGTCCTGGGGTTGTTTGTGCTGCTTTATCACAGGACACTGTATGCCCATAGCAGTCTTAACAAGGACAAGGGAGAAAATGCTGGGTTTGTACATATACAAACTTTCATGTGTTTTCTTGCTCCTTGTCTGTGCTTTGTCCCTGCTAAGTACTGCAGTGTCTCCAGGAGCTGCAAGCTATGCTGGGGGACAAATAGGCTTTGCTGGCATGTGGCTGAGTGGCTGAGCCTGCTGTTCCCCTTGCTTAGGGGAGGTGGCCGCTGTGCAGGGCACTGGATTTGATCTCCGGCAGCCTGTGGAGCTGGGCAAGCACTTGCAGAAGTTTCACCTGGATGGCTTTGACCACAATTTCTGCCTGCATCAGGGGCAGGATCGACGCCTTGTGGCCAGGTAGGCTGGGACCTTGGCAGGAGTCCCCAACCCTGGAGCCAGGGAGTGCCCATTCAGCCAGTCCCGTGTCATCTTCCACTGGCATCTCTGCAGGGTTTTCCACCCGCCCACCGGCAGGACCATGGAGGTTCACACCACCCAGCCTGGTATCCAGTTTTACACTGGGAACTTCCTGGATGGCTCCCTGAAGGGCAAAGGTGCTGCCACATACCCCAAGCACTCGGCTTTCTGCCTGGAAACCCAGAACTGGCCCGATGCTGTTAACAAGGTGAGCTGTCCATTCCCCTCCCACAGGTTACCTGGGTCCTGTGGCAGGGGACATACCCCCACCACCCTCCGTGTCTCAGGGGCCCTAAATGCAGGAACAGAGTCTGCTTGTCAAGGGAGCACTGCAGACCCCAGAAGTGAGGCAGGCACAGGTCACAGTGGCTTTAGACAGGGGTCAGTCAGTGAAGCAGGGACTGTCCTTGTGCAACCCAGCTTCCCAAAGATGTGGGGTCTAGAGCAGATGGCCCCACTGGGGCCTTGTCACATCCTTCATATCTGAGTCATTCCTCACGGCCTGGATTCAACCAGTGGTGGGACTCACCCACTCAGCCCACTGGCAAGTGGTGGGTGGTTACACACTGCTGCTGGAAATGGCTGAGGGGAGCTGTGGGAATATGCCTTGGGAAGAACAAAGGGATTCAGCCATGCTTGCTGGTCCCACGGAATGTGTTCACAGTCACTGATGTGCTGCTGCTTCTCCCCAGCCTCACTTCCCCAATGCCCTACTCCATCCGGGTGAGGAATACAACCACACCACGTGGCTCGTGTTCAACACTGCTTGAGGAGAAGGGCTGCTGACTCCCAGCACTAAGAGGGGTAAGTGCCTCCAGCAGCTGAGCAAGAAATTCTGCCAGGTGCCAAACAGAGCTTTCCAACTACTCTGGGTGAATGCTTCTGATATGGGAGCCTTTATCCTCCTCTCTGGTTTTCACACGTGGTTTATGCTGGCTTTAGCTCCTGTCACCACCTCTGCTGCTATCTGGTTTGTGCAAAAGTCTCACACTCTGTCCAGCCTCTCACCCTGGGCATTGGGTTTTGTTTTGCAATAAAAATGCACTGAAAACACCTTAAGGGGCACAACATCACAGCTCCAACTACAGCAGGGAATATCTAGTAATATTCATGTGGAGCATGTGGGAAGGCTGATGCAGTTGTGGTTGTTTGTTACAACATCTGCTCCTTCCATCAAAGTGCTCTTTCCAAGTGGTGTGCGGTGCTCATGCAGGATAGCTTTAAGGAGGACAGTGTGCTGGGATTATCCCAGCTGGCTGCCCTGGATGCTCTGGTTAAACTCCTATGCTCTGTCTTGGTTGCTGAACCAAAGTGGCCACACCCATTTAGTCCTGAAGATACAACTGCAGGAGAAAACCCATCATCCTAACACTGTGTTTCCACATGAAATCTCCAAAATCTTTTATCAGGGAACTATGTGATGAAAACCTCCGTGTTTCTGAGGGTTCAGAAAATTGGCACAAGCCAGGGGATGACAGGACTGTCTTATTAGGGAGCTGATAGCCCACCCCCCAGGGAAACAGGCAGACAGTCCTTGCATTAGGCACTGTGTCCCACCTTCTCCTGCCATGCTGCTGCACCCAGGGCTTGCAGCACTTCACCAAGCTTCCTCAGCTGCAGAGATGCAGGAATGCCCTTGCCCCCGGGGGAAGTGCCTGGCCATTGGGCTTGCAAATGTGGCAGCCCTGTCACAGTCAGTTCTGCCACCCTGACACCGAAAGAAGGTGGCCTGCTACTCTCCTGCCCTGCACAGGTCACATTGCCTGTGAGGGCTGGTATCCCTTGCAGAACAAAGCTCACCAACAGGGAACACCAGATCGGAAACCAGGGGAACCGCATTTTCCCTGAGAGTGGGGTTTGCCCACCACACTGGAGACCTCAGATACACTTCCCTCGCCCCCTGCCCCCAGCCAGCCTGTGTGGGGTGTGCACATCCTGCCCAGAGGCACAGGGTCACAGCAGCACCAGTCCCACAATGCACCCCTGTGGCAGGGCATCTTTTCCAACTGCTCCCAAACACTGTGTGGAATTTGTGGTGAAATCCTTCCAAACTCAGGCCAGACCTCAATTTTGGACAGCACAGCTGCACAAAAGCACAGATGCCATCTTTGTCACTGCTCCCCCTCTGCACCTTACAAAGTGCTGGCTGTCCTTTGGAGTGGCTGCCCGCACCAGCACAGCCCCACTCCTTGCTCAGGTTCTCACGTGTGGGTTTAGAGGAACCCCAGCCCCCCCAGAGAGAGCCCAGGCTCTTCTGCTCAGTCTTCCAGTGTCTCTGGGTACTGAAAAACAGGTACCAGTAGAGCTGTCGTGTCAGTCTGCAGGTTTATTGTGGAGCAGGTTTGCCTTGAGAGTACAGAAAAGAAAAGGTGATGAAATTCCAGAGCAGGGGCGTACGTGTGCCTCTCACCAGGTACACAATGTACAACCAGTAAAATATTCCAAACACATATCACAGGCTTCAGGCATTTGGGCTAAATCACTGCAGGGTAACATTTGTGTCAGCTCTGCCACAGTGGGATTTGGTGAGTATGGCCAGAAGCCGCCTGGAACACCAATGGCCATGGTGAGCCCCAGAGAGGATCCAGGCACAGTGAGGACCAGGAATAAAGGCCAGAGGATGCTGCAGCAGAACAGCACCTTCAGGATCTGGACTGTTGACTCATCCCCCAGAAAAGCTCCATGCAGTCATTAACAGGAAATCTGTTTCTTGAAAGCCATGTGTTACCCCACGTGTAACAAAATCATCTTGCAACTTTATTTAAGCTGTTATGCTGTGGTTTACATAGTGGAAGCAAACTGCTGATAAGAGTTCATGAGAAGCCCAAAGAGGCCTGGCTTTCCATTTCAGTGCTTACTTGCTGCTGAAACTGGCCTTTATTTCTGCTAGATAGCCAATCCCAGCAAGAAGAAAAGATGCTTTTCACCCCTCTGCCTACCAGCTTTTTGTTCACAGTCCAACACTGTTGCCAGTCCCTTGCTGTGATCTGTGTTGAAGCGCTTTATCATGCAATTCCTTCATACAGAATGAGGACAATTTGACACATCTATACACAAATAATGACTCCTGCAGGTTGTGTATTTGCTGTAAGTAATTGGGATCATTCAACAAAGCCATCTCCAGGATAAGGGCTGCTTGACAATCATACCAGTTTCTGTGAAGCAGGTTAGAACTCCTGAAGGCAGCTGATAATCTTTAATTTTAATAATCTTCCCCTCAAAAAAGGAAAATACGCCTTGAGGTACTTTGAAGAATTTTCTTTACATCAATAGCCCAAAGAACTAAAATATGCAACACGTGAAAAGTAGCAATTGTCAAGTTATTAATCATTTCTATTACCTTTAAAGGTTTCTGCATATGTTATTTGTTTAGAAGATGTGTTTTGGAGGAAAGTTTATCCTTAGATTTTTGAGGCATCTGGTATCTACAGTCTAACACCAGAGATTGAGCTTTGCAGAATAAGCAGATCAGGCAGAAAAATGAATGCCCACTAAGTATCAAGAAATGAAAAGGGCATATGCAAATTTTTATCCATCTGCAGACAGAGATGGTATTTAAATTCCATTTCAAGGAGAACAGGAACTGATCCTTTCACCGAAGACCATTCAACAGTAGGTGTGAAAACTGACTACCTTGAGAAGACACCAGCTGGGTTTAGTGATTCCCATTTTAGACATTTTTCATCCACGTTACATGGCACACAGCTAAAATTACCCAAACGTTAACAGAAGCAGCAGGGTTACTACAGAGAAGTTTTAGTTAAAAATACACATTTTATTTCAATGTGCCAATAAAAAAAGTCCCACATTTTCATATCACAGGAAGTTAATTCATACAATAAAAAGAGACCTGTGCTAGTCTATTGGTGTGACTAACTCAGAAGACCCAAATCATGCCAAATTTTAGTTGATATACTCTTCTATCTACATTCTTACATTTACAAAGACACCACAAAATCCCTTATAATAATGTAAGCAAAATAACTTTCTTCCTAAAAGATTAACTTCACAACTTTAATCCATTCTTTCAGGACTTGCACTTCGTTGAGGGCTTCCTGATGGTGAACGGCTGAAAGGAAAACAATCCACAATTAACATTTCAGTAGAAATGCTTGGGAATCACAAATACAGGAAAAAGCAACAGGAGTATACCCAGACTCTGGCTCCCTTTAAGTATTTCTTAAATAAAATAACCAGTCACTACTGACAAAAGTTAATGGGCTGATGATCTGGAGATAACACTTTTTTCTTTACTGTTATTTTTAAAATGAGATCACTGTAAGGCCATCCTAAGGGTATTATTAATAGTGACCTCCAAAGGGGCAAGATACTTCTTCACTGTTCTGATACAGCAGCTTGTCAAAACCTATCATGATGATCACTCAGCATTTAGGAGCACTTTTTCATGCCCTTGTGATTGTTTGACTTTAAAGTTGTAAAAATGAACTATTAAAGAATTCTAATTAGGGAAAAATGCTGCTGATTCTGTCACTCTCACACACACATTACTCTGCGCATATACACAGAGAGAGAAAACTATTTACAGACTTACTGCAAAAGAAAAAAATAATCTAACAGCAGTGAACATAACAGGCCCGATCATCCATTCCTGACTGCTGTGGCAGGGTACTCCACTCCATCTTCCTCAATGTCAATGTAGCTTTTAATGAGACTGAAAGCTGATTTCCTACATTTATTCTATGCTTTAAGCTCATCAGTCCCTGTGCAATAAAACTGTCAGTGAACCAAAAGGAGCAGGGGAGCAGACAACAAGACACTGCTACATAATCTTGAGCATTTATCACCACATATACATATTACCATATAGAAAGCCACAACCACAACATTATTGCTGTGAAGGAGATCACAGCAAAATACCTTTCCAGTACTTTCCTACAAGCAGCAGTCAAACTTCTCAGCAGAGATCAGTGCAGACACCAAAATGCCAGCTCTATGGAGTCTATGCTATTAGTAGGAGACCAACGTACCTTCTCTTTGGAGACGCTGACCGGGACTTGGACCGGCTGCCAAAACAGAACAGCACCAATGCAGCTTCAATGTCAAATCAACTTTTATGTTTAAAAAACCCCCAACCTACCAGAAAGTAAACTATAGGAATCTAGCCAGGTCTTTCCAATGGTAGTTTTCAGATCAACTTTTACTCTGACAGTGATTCTCCATTTATTTAGTGTGGAGTTGCTTTTTAAGCAACTTTCTTCAGCAGACAAACAGAAAAACAAGGGGTGGTACTAAGGTGATGCTTTGAGAAAAGCAACATCACCAGACTGCTGTTTTATGAAAAGCATTAACAGAGCTCAGGTCTTTATCTGATGGATAGAAAAATGTAACAGAACTGAGTACAAAGGCACAAAAATTAGTACTGTGTTGGAAACTACCAAGAGTTAATGAAAACCCGGAGACAGGTAAGGAACCCACCCCAAAGAGCTGCAGAGGAAATGCTGTAATTTCTGTCATATCACAAAGAGATTAGCTGGGGACCCACGTTAGGAGGATATTTTTCTAAAGGACCAGGCTCTGTTAATCATGCAAACCTAAATTTGAGATGCTACTGCAGGCTCTATGTGTGTGTGCTCACCTCTTAGCTGGCGAGCCAGACTTTGATCTGCCATGAGACCTAGACCTGCAAGAAAAAACACAGCTCAGCAGGGAAACAGAACATGCAGGTTCCCACGTTTGGGACAGCAGGATTCACACCCAGTGGATGAGCACTGTCATGCTGAGTACACAGAATCCTGTAAGTTTCCAGGGTTTTGCCTACTAAGTTTCCAAAGAAGTCTTTTTACATGGATGCTGCACATGTTGCTCTGTACTTTGGTTTGGTCCCTAGCTGATGACCAGTGTTTGCTGATGCAGGTGGGAGGAACACAGGAACAACCCAAATCCTGACCAGTATTTTCAGAGAGCTAATAAAAAGCCATGCTCTAAACTTGCAGGTTTTATTAGACTTGAGCAACATCTGCCACTGCAATTGCAGACAGCTCATTCCTAGAAGTATCTTCTCTGTGAAGTTCATCTTATATATCCACTTCAAGTTTTTTTTTTGAACTTTTGAACTTAATCCTTATGAAAAAAAATGTGGAAAATGTCCACCTTTGAGTGAGCTGCTGCACCACAGGAACATTAATATTGCCTGAAAGCCTCACTGAAATTTTGAGGTCCCCCAAGAAGTGTTCTACATTCCACATCCAAGGCTTCCCACAACAATTTCCAGATGTGTGTTGTGACACTGTCAAACCAGCAATGTCATGTACTCATTTAGTTGGTCTCCCTCATGAACCTAGAGCCTGTTTCTGGGTGCAATGCATTCCTTGGGCTCTTCTGTAAAGAAATAATCTTTCAATTACATAAGCACAATTATTCTGCCACTTCTGGCTAGTTGTAGATCTGTAACTTCCTATGCCTCAGTCACTTAATCCCTACTTACAATGCAAAGTGTCACACAACAGTCCAGAAGTGTCACTACAAGTATCCTTAACCCTGCAGAAATCCAGCATGGTACCAGAAGGAGAAAACAATGGTGCTAAAATCAAGATGTTTTCCTCTTAGAGAGTCTTCTGACTGTAGCTGTTTCTGGCCTCATCACTGACAGTGAACAGTGGTGAGCCATGAAGCACAGGCTGCTCTTACTTACTATCAAGTGAAGTTTAAGGGAACAAATAATATCCTGTGTTCCTTCAGAATCTGACTGTTGCTCCTGTGACACGTTTATTGGTACAAAATAATTCTGACAGGTGTTTATCTCAAATCAAAATCAGCTCCTGCAGATTTACACTGATATTCAACAGAGCTGGAATTGTAGCTGTAACACTCAGGACACCAGCAAGCCCTTCAAGACTTGCCAGGCTGCAGACAACCAAACATTAACACACCACTGGAAGGGCATCCTGCTTTCTCAGAAAAATAGTGGGAAGAATCCCAATCCTGTGTGTGCTACACAAAGAAATTGAAACTTTTGAGATTAATTCTACATTTGTTAGCTGTTAATGCAACCTGATCAAACCAGTATTTCTGATTCCTATGGGGACCTAGATGTTAGTGGTGTGCAAAAGAATAAAAAGAGGAAGAACAATCTTCTGTGCTGCTTTTCAGAACTACAGACCCCTAAGTTAGTGAAGGGAAAACACATCTTTTCCTGGAAAAAAACCTTAACAGTTGTTAAGAGAGCCTAATGAGACTTCTAAGCAACTTTTGCCAACTACCTATAGTCACGTACCTGCTTCGGGGCCATGTAACAGATCTGGATCTAGATCTGGATCTTGATCTAGACCTGAAATTAAAAATTAAGATAAATTAAAAATAAATAAACTCAAGAAGCGATGACAATTACAGCACTATACAAATTAATGTCTACTTGTGAACTTAAGACATACATGATCATAGATCTATGTGATCATTAGACATTTTAGCCAAAGAAATTAAATTGTGGTAGACGCCACTATCTCAAGGCAAGATCTCAAAACATTAGCACTCCTGTGAATTTAACTAGGATTATCAGAAACTTATAAAAGCATACTGACTTCTAGAGGTCAGCATCTTTTGAAAGCTACTATCCAATACCTTTTGGAATCTAATTAAAACAAGAAAACACCAACAAAAATAAATCACACAGTAAAAATCAGCACTAATTACCTTGATCTCTTCAAGGAACCCGACCGGGACCGGCGGGGAGACACGGACCTAGACCTACGAGGAGACACGGACCTGGACCTACGATAGGAAGCTGACCTGGACCTGCAGAGAAAGCAATTCCAAGAGTCGTTCAAGTGTAGCTTTTTCTAGGCAAAAGAAGGAAACAGGAGTAAAAGACAAACTCAAACACACCTCCTACCACGGCTGCGGCTGCGTGACCGGGAATACCTTCTCCCTCGGGACCTCGAGCGGGATCTAGACCGGGACCTGGGTTTAGGTTAGAAAAAACAGGTATCAGCAGACAGCTGCAGCAACCCGCACGTGTGAGGCCCTGCTGAAGTCAAAACTTTTTTCAGACAACTAAAGAACTAGCATCTGTCAGTTGGAAAAATGTCTGGGCCTACTTGTCTTGAGCATTTTTACTACCTAGAAAAATGTTAAAAGCTGAATTACATTGCAGAATTACATTAGAATAGAAAACACTGTAATGCGTATTTAAAATAAACCTTGCAAGTTTGCAGGTCGACCCTCTTTGGCCCAAGGTCTAGCAGATCTAGACGATCTAGAAGTATCTATAGGCGAGCGCTGCATCTAGGTAGGTGTTCTCTTCAATCTAACGACGATCAAACTGACAGCCCAATGAGCCAGGGTGAGGCTTGATTGACGCAAGAAGATTTTTCTAGGTGGGAATGTGGTCAATCTGGTGTTCCTCTTTCTAAACCGGAGGGGGGCCCCAATTGAAAGCCAAATTTACTGTTACGGCGGTCACCGTCTCAAATTTTCTGCCCTTAAAGAATAAGGTGAAGCTACGTGTAGATGGCTCGAGGGGATCTGGCCTCTTATGCTGATCACCTCAAGGTCTAGGAGGATCTTAAGTGTCGGATTTGCAAGGCGCCTCAGCATGAAATCTTAAGGCTCGTGACATTCTGAATCAAGGCGACTGACTCAAACGAAGAAACCTGAAAGGTTTTGACCAGGTTGATTATTAAAATAGTAACATTTGATAGAAATAGCAACAAATTGTAATATACACCTATACATTTATTCTAGCGTTAAAGTTTAAAGAAAACTGGTGTAACATTGTGTTTTTTGCTAACAAGAACTACACAAAAGCGAGCTGGCGAAGCAACGCGGCCGCCCCGACCCCGCACGTACCTGCTCCTCCTTCGCCGGCTATAGCGGTGACAGTCATAGGCATAGTGGCCTTTCTCACCACACTCGTAGCATCTGTCGTTGGGGTCGAAGGGGCGCCGGGCGGGTGGCCGGTCGTAGCGGGAGCGGCGCGGCATCCCTGTGGATACTTCCACTCTGACTCTGGAGCCGCAGATCACCCTGCAACGAGTCCACGAAGGGTTTGGGTTACACCTCTCAGTCCATGACAGAACTACAAAAGCACAGGGACCAGCGAGATAAACCCCGCTTCTCTCTCAGAAGCCTCGGCAAACACGCGGAATGGACACGTACTTCCCGTCAAGTCCACGGACAGCATCTTCAGCATCCCGGGGGTCTTCGAACTCCACGAAGGCGAACCCCGGCGGGTTCCTGGCGATCCACACGGTTCTCAGCGGTCCGTAATAGCTGAAAGCTCTCTCCAGCTCGCCTTTGCCGGCGCCCGTGCCCAGGTTGCCCACGTACACCTTGGTCTCTGCGGGGACAAGCGGACCGGGGGTCAGCGCGGGGCCGGGAGCGGGCTCAGCATCAGCCCCCGCCCCGCCCTCCCCCGGCCGCCGCCATCTTGTCCGCGCGGCCCCTTCCCGCCTTCACCGCGAGCGCCGCGCGCCCGGCCGCGCGCCCTCCCCCACGGCCGCTGACGCAAAATGGCGGCGGCGACAACGGCGGCGGCGGCCGCATCGCCTTCCTCGCCTCCCCACCGGCGCCCGGCACTCGGGAAGCTCCCCACGGTAATCGCCTCTCTCTCAGACCCGTCTCGCCTTCCCGCCCGCGCAGCCGCCCGCGGCCCCCGGGAACTCTCACCGCCTCCATAGCGGCCGTAACGCGACATCCCGACGGCTCCGCCGCCCGCGCGCACGCGCCGCCTCACGCGCCTGCCCCCTGGCCTGCTCCCCCGCCTCCCCCGCGCCGCGCGGAGGCGCGCATGCGCCAGGGGCGGGCTTCTGAATGGGACTTGGGGCCTGAAATAGGAATTGAAGGAGTGAGTGGGAGCGCCTTTTCCTGAGAAAACGGAGTCCCTGTCCTGTTGCTGGTGCTGCAGGTGATCATCTGCCCGATGGAAGTAAAGCCAGCGGGGCCTTTCTGTCCTGGCACCTCCTGAGTGGGAGCAATCCTTGGACGCATCCAGTATTGGAGGTGATATCCCCATCAGCTGGTGCGTAGCCGTCGCTGGGGTGCAGGCCAGTGCTTATTCTTGGAGTGAAAACTATTAGATTTGCTCTCCCTGCTTTCTAATAAACGAGCTGTGACTGAAAGAAAGCAGTAGCTGAATGCAGTGGCACAAGCCATTCACACAATCCCTGTAGTACTGGAGAGGCTGAATTGAGACCCCCAAAAAGAAAGGAAAAAAAAAAGGAAATAGCTCCTTTAAGCTTCCAAAATATGACTGTCTAATTTTATACCCTTTATATTTTTTGTGTTAGCATTCACAAAACCATTGCGTGTTTGCGTTCACAAATTCCTAACAAATGAGCGAATCAGTGACTAGCAGCTTCTTTGGTTCATCCCCAGGAAGCTCTGCCTGAGTGCTGCTGAAACGGAGTAGGTGTGGGGTGGGTGTTGGAATCAAGCTTCCCACCTTCACGGCGGCACAGCAAAGCCTACTAAAAGCAACTCAACAACCAGGCAGCAAAAATACCTTATTTATATGTAGCAGATGCACAGAGGGTGCATCTACCCCTATTAACACACACGGACGAGGCACGGCCTGGCATGTGCAGGCCGCAATCTCACCGCGCCAGCAGGAGCAGCCCAGGAGCAAATCCAGCAGCTCCAGAGGGGCCGAAGGCAGCGGCATTGAAGTGCCACACGCACCCCAACTCCTTGTTTTGCGACACGGCCTGATGCGTGCAAGCCTCCGTGTCATTTATGTGCCTCCCCCCCCCCGCAGCTGTAAAACCCCGCACGGGAGCACTTGGTGCTAACCCGGGCCGGGGAAAGGCGCTCGGCGGCGGCGCCAGGAAGCGGCGGCACCGCCCGGGGCAGATCCCAGGGGCCCTCGGCGGGAACGCGAACGGGAACTGGGGCCGGTGAGCGGGAAAGCGGGATGGGGACCGGGGCTCCTGCCTCCGCCCAGCTGGGTCGTGCAGGCTCTTCCTGCCGGGAAGGCATTCCCGGGGAACAAAGCGCCCTCCAGCCCTTTGTGCTCCCCGAGCCGCACTGCACCCGTCGCTCTGCGGCCCCGCTGGGGGGTGCTGGGCTGAGAATGCTGCACGGGGCGAAAGGAGTGGAACGGCACTTGCTGGTGCTCCAGCGCAGGGGATGAGGAGGAGAGGGTAGGATAGCGCTTGTCCAAGGCGGCGGAAGGGCTCGGGCACCAGTGATGCGCCAGTGCCCAAAACAAAGGCGCTGAACTTTTACCTCCAAGGTTTTGTAACAAAGCAGAGCAATAGATGGAGTGTTGGATGCAACGGGAAAGCTTAATGTTACCAGAACAGTGGGGTTTGAGGCTTTGCTGTCTGCCTTTAAAAACAAGTGGACTCCATGGGGAATTACAGAAGTGCAGCTTTTTACAAACCACTTGTGTGAATGTCTGCTTTTAAAAAAAAAGCAAAATTTGCCTTTTTTTTTTTAAAGACAAATCTTTACATAGTGGCAAACACAGTCCTGACGTGAAGAGTGTGAAAAATGCGTATTTTATGATTGGCTTTTTGCAAATATTAAAATGAATATGTGTTATGTTAGAAAATTAATATGCTGTATTAATTTGCTTAAGTAGTGTGTTAAATATAGTTTTAACATAAGGTTAAAATAGAAACTATGCTATGTAGGATACTTTTTTTCTAAAGAAAGGACTCGCACCAAGATAGCAGCCACAGGACACCTAAATCTTTCAGAGAATTTATTGCCCCATTATCAGAAGAAACGAACTTCTTCCTGCCCCGTTCAGCCATGAGACACATTAGGATTCAGAGGAAGAAGCTGACAATGACCAGACAGAATCCTTTGTTGGAATGGAATTTATGCATCATGTATGAAGTGTATGAATATGCAACAGGGTGTTGTTTTTAAGGGTTAATGCTCTGTTAATGTGTGTCCTATTTTGGACTTATGTTGCCCAGAAAAAGGTACCCAGAGATCCATAACTCTTTTTTTCTATTGTCTCATATTGTCCTAATCCAAATTGTCCAAAATTTTTATTACTCTAATTATATTGCTATTTTTATTACCATTTTATTACTATTAAAGTTTTAAAATTTTAAAACAAGTGATTGGTGTTTTTCACAAAGAGCAAACCAAAAAGATTGCATCTGCTGACTGATCTGGTTGTTTTCTAGGTCCTGGATGTAGGAAATATGAATGACTGGCAGAGAAAAAGCCCTCTAGACTGGGAAACGTATGTGAACAAATTGGTCAAAGTTGTTGCAGTTGAGAAACATGAATATGAAGGATGGGTTTTAACAGTTGACCCAGTTTCTGCCACGTAAGTACCAAAGCTTTTATGAAAAGCAAGATTTTTAGGAGGAGAAAAGATTCCAAGGCTGAAGCAAACTTATTTAGAGCAAAAATGGTTTGTTATCTTGTTAAGTTGCAGTTTCTGCTGATGGCTGCAGCGTCCTTGTCTTCTGGTTTGTACTTCCTGTGCACCTCATGTCTGGCTGAGCATGGGAAACTAAAAAACCCTTGATTTAGAACAAGCACTGCTTAGCAACAACTAAAATATCAGTGTGCTAGGAATGTTATTCTCACTGTAAATTCTAAACTCAGCACTGTGCCAGCTTCTAGGAGAATTGCTAAAAAATCAGCTCTCTACCAGTTGAATGCATGTGTTGAAAGTGAAAGTTCAGAGCTTGCAGCTAAGGCTTCAGCAAACCCAGCTACTCATGCTAAACAAGTAAAGCTAAGTGAACAGCATATTAAATCACACAGTATTATAATTCCAAGTGACTTACTCTAATTTAAAACTTAATATTTAGCTGTACTGTTACCTCTCAACAATCCATGTGTTAAAGATTGCTTTTGGTAATATACTAAACCCTGTTTCATGAAGAATGCTGGAGGGTTTTCAGTGCTTTAGGTGTTGAAATCCTTAGCCTTTGTCCAGAGTTCTTACATTGATGCCTGGCTTTCCACTCCAGCCAGACACCCAGGAAGGTGTCAAGGCTTCTCTGGAGAGCAAGCAGGGAAAATCAGGGACACTGGACAGAAAGTGGTACCACACATCTCTGATATCCCAAGTGAGTAACTTGAAAACAGGGTTTGAAAGGCAAAATGCACCCGGGAGTAGGCAGAAATTTGTCTCCTTGCTGCCAGAGCTCTTTCATACCTTATTGGATGTGAGCTTGTCCTACATGAACACAAGCTGGAGGCTGAAAACTAAACCATTCAGCTTCTGATGTGTTTCAGAAGACTGGGTTGCTGCTTCAGCTCTGAAGTAGCTCCAGTAATCTCCTGAAGTTTCCTATCGTTTTGGTAAGGAAGGTGCATGGAGCTGTGAGTGATTCTGGTGATGGTCCAGGCCCAAATCAAGGCATATCTCACTGGACACATCCCCAAAAAAACTCATTACTTCACTAGCCTATTACTGCCACTAATGGTGGCAGTAATAGGCTAGTGAAGTGCTGGTATCAAGTTCTGGAATTCTGCTTCCCACAAGAGGAAGAAAATGGTTTCTGATGCTCTTTGTTGATATATGAGGGAGAGATCCTAGAAATATAACCAGCTGCCTTCCTACTTGCATTTTAGGAGTTCTGGGATGCAAGTGCCCTTGGGATAACACAAGGCTTCTATAATGTAAGCCTGAGCCTCCTGTAGTGTGTTCTGTTGTATTTTCATTTCATAAACTGGCAACAGTCATTAAAAAAATATTCTTTTGGCAATGATCAATAAATATTACTTTCTTCATTAAAAGGATCTGGTGTTGTTAGCTGTGTTCAGCATTCAAAGTGCTGTATGTATGAAGGTATCACTGTTTCTGAATGTTGAAATGTTTTAGGTTCTTCAGCAGTGTTGGAAAGCTGCACAAAAATATTTAGATTTCCAGACTTGTCTTTATATTTTTTGAAGCAAAGTGTACATTAATATTCTGCTTGATAGTGTCTGGAGTAGTTTCAAATTCAAGACCAGCAATTCTCTGCAGAGCCCCACATTTTTAGTATTTTAAGGGTATAGCAGCATGCTTTTCAAAGGAAAATGCTGGGTGCTGGGTATTGACTAAGTACCTGGGTTAGGCTGATGCTAATGAGTTCTTATCTCCAAAACCTTAGAGGCTGCTTCTCAGTCTTCAGTCAAGAACAGGAACTTACACGATCTTCTTTCCTTGATAGCATTGTCCTTGCAACATTCCCAGAGAACGAGAAAGGATCCATCTCATTCGTCATGGGCCACGCTGTCCAAGAGGTGGAGGTCCTGCAGGAAGGGGACAGTGACATGGAGCAGCGCCTTGCTCGCATTGTCGCGCCCGAGGAAAGCCAAGCCTACAGCGCGGAGGAGCTGGAGAGGAGGAAGAATGCCTTGAAGACGTGGCTGGAGACAAACCACATCCCCGTGGGCGAGCAGGGGGAGCTGGGCAGGACGCTGAGCGTGGCGGGGGTGCTGAGCATCGAGCCCCCGTACGGCCCCGAGCAGTGCAGCAGCACCAACGAGATCATCCTGGCCCGAGTGCAGGGCCTGCTGCAGGGCTTCCTGCAACAGCAGCACTGAGGGCTCCTGCTGTGAGGCCTGTGGACTCCAGGAGCTCTCCTGGTTTAGGAATCATCCTCTTTTAGGAGCTCTCCTGGGTGTCAATATTCACTAGTTGCAGAAATGCTGCGTTTTGGGTACTTTCATCTTGATTTTTTTGTATGTAAAGGAAGGAATAAAAAAGAATAAACTCAAAGCACAAGTATTTTTTCATGTGCTATTTTTATTAGAAGAAAACTGTTGGATAATGCTGATATATGAAACTGATTTGTCAGTTTGTCATTTTAGAGTTTTTGTAACAATATTGTAAAAGATGATCTATAATACATTTAAACTTTTCCCTTTAAATGTATTTAAATTTTCAATGTTAAATGTCTTCCCTTTAAAACTAGTTTAATTATCTAGTGCTGAAGGCATGTTTATTTGAACTGCTTACCAGATTCTTTCTTTTCTTTAAGAAAGAGAATGATGACACCTAGACTTCCCAAACCAACTTAAAAAAAAATTCAGAAAAAAAAATGTTTAGAAAGCTGTTTGTTTTGTTTTCCTGGCTGGTTGGTTGGTTGTTTTTCCCATTACTGTTCTCCTAGTTTAGAACATAAACTACAATGGATGTCCGAGTTCGTAAAATTATTAGGGAAGATTAGCAGGCAAGTAGCAGGTTTTAAAACGATTACCTGTCTATATTTGTTATTTTAGAACAGCAGTGCTTGGAAAAACAGTGTTCTGTAAAAGGGAAAATGTATTGCAATTCAGTAAGTTTGTGTTTTTTAATGCTCTGTTTCTAGTTTATGCCAACATGTGATGCAGGAATCATTATGTGATTATTCTTGAGATTATTAATGCAGTGAGGAACATTAGAGCCCTCATTTATCTCAGTGTATTTGTTCTGCCTTATTAGGAGATAAGCACACTGGTATGCTCAAAAGCAGCTGGAAAGTCTGCCTAACCCTTGTTCCTAAAAGGCTCTCCTCATTCTTGCTAGGATTTACCTAAAATTACTTTTTATCTGTCAGGTTTATGTTGATTTTTAATTAAAAAATGTCTGCTGCCCATCCATTACTGTGTCTCCCTGGAAAGGTTGGGAGATGCCAACACACAACAGCTTCAGCTCCATGTCAGATACGAGGGGAGAAAGCAGGGCCTGAACTCCCGAGGCTGGTTGGGATGGAGCCAAGGTGTGAGAGAGATTTGGAGCAACTTGGGGATGCCTTGTTCCAAGGGAGGCACCGCTCCTGGCCGTGGAATAAGGACCATGGATGGCGTCAGCTCCACCCTCAGCACAGGCAGAAGCCATGATGGGTCAGGCATGAGGGGTGCAAAACGCAAAACGCAACAAGTGGCTCCCGACCGGTCTGCCCCCTCAGAGCCGGACAGGAGCTCTCACTGGGGGCTGCCGGGGGCGAGTGTGTGCCCGGGAGGAGCGGGGGCGGCCCGTGCCCGCTCACGTCCCCTCACGCCTGCTAGGCCGCCATGGCCGCCGCGCGGGAACCGACTCTCGCGAGGCCCGCTCGCGCCGAGGCGCGGCCCGCCCCGCCCCGCCCCCCGCGCGGCGCGCAGGCGCAGCGACGGTTCCTCTATATAAGGGTCGCGCCTGCCCGGGCTCGCGCTGTCATCGGGAGGATGTCGCGATACGGACGATACGGTGGGGACGGCGGCGAGCCTAGGGTGTTTCACAATCGCGTCGGGGCTTCCACTGTGGGTAGGGGGGCGAGGAGAAAGGTGGCTGGAGCGGCGGCGTTCGTGCCGCTCCGGCGGTGGAAGAAGGTGATCGTTCCCTCAGACGGCCGCTGAGAGGGATGGTGGCGAAGGGTCGGGGCACGGCGGGGGCGGCCGCCGCGGCCGCGGGGTCTGTGTGGGGCGGGCGCGGCCCGGCGGGAGCGCTCTAAGATGGACGCGGTGTCAAAGATGGCGGCGGGGAGGGAGCGGGGGAGGGGCGGCCGCGTGCCCGGCGCCGCGCGCGGCACTGACATGGCAGCCGCTTGTCCCCTCAGAGACCAAGGTGTACGTGGGCAACCTGGGCACGGGCGCCGGCAAAGGCGAGCTGGAGAGAGCTTTCAGCTATTATGGACCGCTGAGAACCGTGTGGATCGCCAGGAACCCGCCGGGGTTCGCCTTCGTGGAGTTCGAAGACCCCCGGGATGCCGAAGATGCTGTGCTTGGCCTCGATGGGAAGTACGTGCATGTCTGGAACTTCTTTGAGGGCCGCAGCCCTCGATCTCCCTATGCCACACCAATCAGAGATTTCTCATGTTCGTTGCTTGAGCGTGTCAGAGGAAAATATTCCTTTCGTTAATAGCTGCTGTGTCTTGCAGGATAATATGCGGCTCCAGAGTCAGAGTGGAAGTATCCACAGGGATGCCGCGCCGCTCCCGCTACGACCGGCCACCCGCCCGGCGCCCCTTCGACCCCAACGACAGATGCTACGAGTGTGGTGAGAAAGGCCACTATGCCTATGACTGTCACCGCTATAGCCGGCGAAGGAGGAGCAGGTACGTGCGGGGTCGGGGCGGCCGCGTTGCTTCGCCAGCTCGCTTTTGTGTAGTTCTTGTTAGCAAAAAACACAATGTTACACCAGTTTTAACTCTAACTGTCATAAGTCAACAGGTGTATATCACAATTTTTTTTTTTTTGCTAATACATATAAAATGTTACTATTTTAATAATCAACCTGGTCAAAACCTTTCAGGTTTCTTCGTTTGAGTCAGTCGCCTTGATTCAGAATGTCACGAGCCTTAAGATTTCATGCTGAGGCGCCTTGCAAATCCGACACTTAAGATCCTCCTAGACCTTGAGGTGATCAGCATAAGAGGCCAGATCCCCTCGAGCCATCTACACGTAGCTTCACCTTATTCTTTAAGGGCAGAAAATTTGAGACGGTGACCGCCGTAACAGTAAATTTGGCTTTCAATTGGGGCCCCCCTCCGGTTTAGAAAGAGGAACACCAGATTGACCACATTCCCACCTAGAAAAATCTTCTTGCGTCAATCAAGCCTCACCCTGGCTCATTGGGCTGTCAGTTTGATCGTCGTTAGATTGAAGAGAACACCTACCTAGATGCAGCGCTCGCCTATAGATACTTCTAGATCGTCTAGATCTGCTAGACCTTGGGCCAAAGAGGGTCGACCTGCAAACTTGCAAGGTTTATTTTAAATACGCATTACAGTGTTTTCTATTCTAATGTAATTCTGCAATGTAATTCAGCTTTTAACATTTTTCTAGGTAGTAAAAATGCTCAAGACAAGTAGGCCCAGACATTTTTCCAACTGACAGATGCTAGTGGTGTGTTTTTGTTGTTTTATTTGGTTTGGTTTTTGGTTTTTCTTTTTTTGATTTATTTTTAAATCCTCTTTTTAGTTGTCTGAAAAAAGTTTTGACTTCAGCAGGGCCTCACACGTGCGGGTTGCTGCAGCTGTCTGCTGATACCTGTTTTTTCTAACCTAAACCCAGGTCCCGGTCTAGATCCCGCTCGAGGTCCCGAGGGAGAAGGTATTCCCGGTCACGCAGCCGCAGCCGTGGTAGGAGGTAGGGCTCTGCCTTCTGTGTGTTCGTTCCCACTCCTTCCTCTGTGGGCCCTTCTTTCCTTGTCTGTATTTGTTGTGAAAAGTGCCTTGCAGTGATGGGTTGGTTTTTGCTTTGTTCTGTAGATCCAGGTCAGCTTCCTACCGCCGGTCCCGGTCGATGTCTCCTCGTAGATACAGATCCTTCTCACCCCGCAGGTCCCGCTCTGGTTCTCTAAGAAGGTCAAGGTATGTGGTTGTGGTTAAACCCACAGCATTGTTGATGGGCACATAAGGTGGAGCTGAAATATCAAATATCTATATTTATTTATAGCGTTTATAATGTAATCAGTAAGTTTGTTTTGCAGTTCATGTGTTGATAGGAACTTTTGTGTTGTTACACACACAAGAGCTATTCTGAATACTTTCTTTAAAATCTAAGCCTATAATTTTGGAACTGCTGTTTCTGAGAAGTTACTTTTTTCTTTTTAACATTTTACCAAAGTTACAGCCTCGCTTTGTGGTTAAGGTTTCCAAATTCACCTACAAGTGTACAGGGTGTAATTGCTTAGTGCAGTAAGACAGTGGAACTCATTTTATCTGCGTGGCAGTACTGACCAAAGGTGCTACAGCCTTCTAATAATAAAAATTACTTCTGTAAAACCAACAGATCAACAAAGTTCTCAGTCTTCTGGGACATTTATAAGAACTGGTTTCTGCCTCACCTGTATGAAGCATGTGGTACTAGAGCTTCCATTGTTTTCTTTCCAGATCTAGGTCCAGGTCACGCTCCAGGTCCCGGTCTGTTGTATGGCCTCGAAGCAGGTGAGACACTCACTTTGGTTCAAACCAGTAAGGGATTTGGTGTGTTGTTTGTTGTTTGGTTGTGGTGGTGTGTTGTTTCTTTGTTTTGTTTTGTTTTGTTATTTTTTTTTCTTCCCTGCGGGAATTTGTCTGGAAGCACTTAAAAGGCTGTCCAGTAGAGCAATATTTGCACTTAATAATTTATACCTTTTCACAGACAAAAGTAGTGGTGTGCAATTAAAGGTCTGTGGTGAGAATTTTTTTTTAAAAGTTAATTCTTAGGTCTGTATTAAATTGAGGATGGTTTCGTGTGCTGTGCTGCCTTCTACTTAGCAGTGGTACCAGTTCTGGGTGGTTGTGAGCATTCCCATCCTCAGTAACTGTGACCCAGTAGGAAGTTTCTTGTTATGAGGGGGGAAATGGGCCAGACGGCACCTCAGGAGAGTGACCAGGAAGGTTTCAAAGCAGTGGCACGTAATGTTTTGTTTAACATGTGCCAGCAGTGTCCTTGTAGTATTTCTGTGAGGTAATAGGCCTGGTAAAGGTGAATATTGATTACCCCTCAAAAACAGTTCTGAGCAGAAATAGAGTAAAAGTATTCTGCTTTTTTGGCCAAGTGTGTTGAATGGAGCATTCTGCTGTTGAGTGATAGCTTGAATTCTGATACTCTAGGAAGACATTTTTTAAGTAACAACAAATATTTGAGGTGATAGAGTAACATAATAAATGTGGGAGGAAAGTTTCACTGTCCAAGTAGATTTTAATTCCTGAGATAAACTGGGAATAGTTTACTCATTAGTAACCAGATATTGGTGCAAAATATATATTATGCTGAATAAAATTGGCATTGGGAACTTGAGCTGAAGAATGCACCAGCCGTTCAGCACACACGCTTACTTGTGGCTGATTCCAGGCTCTTAATGTGCTATTAAAATACTTCCTAAGATGATACTTGAAACTATTCTTCCCTTTCTAGAAGGGATACTTGCAGGTAGGAAGGAAGTGTGGGAGTCTGGTCTGGTGTTTTGTGGAGCTGGCAGCTGAAGCTTTGCTGGGGAGCTTCCTGTGCTTGCACTTGTGCCTTTTGATGAGTGGGGTCTCTGCAGTAGGAGCTGAGGATTCCCTTGGAAGGTCCTGGGGCAGGCCTGCAGCACCAGAGCCTTCCCCCTGTGGTTGGTGCTGCTGCCTGGGGTGAATTTGCTGTTGCTGGTGTAGCTAACTCTCCGTGTGTTTGCATGCCCACTGGCTGCTTTGCTGAGCTTTATTTTTCTCCTGTTGTAGGTCTGAGTCTCATGGTAGATCTAAATCTGGCTTACCTGCTAAAAGGTGAGCGTTCAAATACAAGTACCACTCAGTTGGTTTTTGTTTTGGTTGGTGGGGTTTTTTGTGGGGTTCTTTGGTTTTTTCCCTCATGATTCAAAATCTCTGTTTGGACTGGTATTTCAGTTGCAGGGTTGTTTTTTTACTTTTGTAACTGATTTCAAAAGCATTTTTCATACATTATGGGTTTTTTTTTGAACAGCTGATTTTTTGTGGGACAGTAGGCAATTCTTCCAGGATTTTACATACGGCTGTTACACACTCATTATTACAAAAAAATACTTTTGACAGATTTGGGGCATGTTTTCTCCTACCTCTGTTCTTAAGTGTCTGTAGTTCTCCCTGTCCCTAACTCTGCTCGATTCACTGCTCCTGCTTTGCAGGGTTACTGTGATTACAGCAGCTTTGAAGCTGTGTGTTGCTCTTTCCCCGAGGGCTCCGGCTTCCAGCATTTTTCCTTCTCACCTGCAGCTTCTTGCTTAAAGTACCTGGGTACACTTGATACCAGCAGTGTCAATGCATTTTTAACAACATCAAATTGTTCTGGTTTTAAATGGTCAGAAGTGGGTACTGAGAGCACCCAGGTGTACCAGCCACACTGACTGGTCTGTTTGTTTGTTTTTAAACAGCCGCTCAAAGTCCAGATCACCATCTCCAAAGAGAAGGTAGGAATGTCTTAAAACTGGAGTCTGTTCTATGGTTCAATAGCACTTGAGCTCGAGCAGTTCCTAGAGAAGTTAACTTGGGTAAGGATAAAAGCTCAGGATTTTTAGTTGCCTACATCTGAACTATGAGAAGATGAATTGTTTATGGGCATTTCCTGCTGCTGGCTGTCAGAATGTTATTATACAGCTAAGGAATAAGAATGCTGCTGCTAAGGAAACCTTTAATGAAATGTTTCTGAGGAGTTTAGAATCTAGGGAACAAGTGAGTAATGTAAGGTGTAGAGCAAGCCAATGAAGTGGTGTAGGATTAAATTCCTGCTGGTGACGTGTGAAGGCTCAGGAGTTGCACAGCTGCCAAGCTGTGCTGGGCTCCATGAAGGAAGAAGTTTTCCTCTGTTACCAGAGTATGTGCTGGAATTGAGATATCTGAGCAGGCTTGATGTCTCAGCTCTCTTAATTAGTCTTCAGCTTTCAAGCTTAAAGCAGTATTTAAGTTAAAGTGTAAAATACAACACTTATTATTTGAAAACTGTAAATGAAAATAGGGGCAGAACTCCACAGGAACCCTGGGGTAGCATGCACAGTTTCTGTTGGTTTTACTGTAGGAATTGTTCTTAATGGTTTGTTGTCTTTTTTTTTTTTTCCTTTCAGTCACTCACCATCAGGAAGCCCTTGAAGGAATGAAAATCCTAAAAGAATGGGTTCAAATTTAAGAAGTTTAGTAAAAAAATTATTTTGTTTACATTGTAAGGGATTTTGTGATGTAAGGGCTTAGTCCTAGAAGGCTGTTTCTATTGACTAGCAATTGGCATGAACCTCTATCTTCTAAAAGTCTTGTTAGCAGACTAATACAAAACTCTTCTGTTGTGTTTGTGTTCTGTGATCTGAAAATGTTGGGCTTTTTTTTTTTTTATTGGTGCATTGAAATAAACTGCATTTCTAACTAAGAAATCAGTTGTGATAAGCCTGCTGTTCATAGTTGGGATGGGGAAGCAAGCAGTGTGCCCCTGGGGTGAAAAACAGCAGGCAGGTTGGGCCAGGCAGCACCAGCTAGGGGGAAAAGGTACCAGTCTGTTGTGTGTATGCTGGATGTCCATGTCTGTATACCTTTTTTAGGAAGTTTGAGGGGGTTTGTGGAGATCACAGGTCCAAAGCACAACCTGCAGGTTGTGTTCAAGTAGCAGGATCTGTGGGGAGTTGAGAGCTCAAGTTGCTCGTGTCTGCCGCGTTCCATCCTGGCAGTGAAGCGTACCCGGGGGCCTTGCTGCTGTGCTGATGTGTCCTTGCTTTGGGAAACCAGACTAACCCCATCTCACCATGGATAGGTGAATACTGAATTAATAAAATAGTTCAGGAGTTTTGCCAATTTGCTTTATCTTTGTAGCTGATAATGGCTGTTACCAGAATAGCAAGGAAATTTTGGAGTGCTGGGTAATTTTAGGAATGGTAGGAAGTACAGCATGCTGCTTTCCTGGAGTGGCTGAACACCTGCCTGCCCAAGGGAAGTAGGGAATAAATTCTTTCGCTTTTGTTTTATTAAACTGTATCTCAGTGTGTGAATTTCTCATATCCCATGCTTCTCCCTCTTCCTGGTGCCAGCTCATGGAGGTGGGACAGAGGAGGGAGTGGAGCCAGCTGGGGCTAATCCATCCCAGCAGAGCTGCAGTGGCCATTCTCTGCAGTTCTCTGTTAGCGATGTTGGGCTTGATACTCCTGTCATCTTCCCCACAGGAGCCTGTGTTGGTGTGAAACTCCTACAAACAATTCATGTGTATTTTTTAAAAAAAACCAAACTTCTCCAAACAATGTTCCTCCCTCCACTCATCATGCCTCAGGCTGAAGGTTGTAGATCAGACTGGTGCTGGAGGCAGTGTTCACTCTGGTGACAGAAAGGTGCCAGCCCAGTCCTGTCACTTAAGGCATGTGGTGTTTGAGCAGCTTGGCTGCAGCAATGCTCAGCACTGCAATTAAAAGCAAGGCCAAAGGGAGGAAATAATAGTTCATGATTGCTACAGCATTTTACCCCACAGTGGAGCAGCCCAGTCCTCAGAGCAGGAGTTTGGCTGAAAGCTTCCAAAAGTGAGACTTCATTCTAGCTGTGCAGGGTGGCAGGAGGACTACCCTATACCAGAACATGTTAGCAATTAACAATGGCAGCTGCCAGTAATTCATTTTAATGCACTACAGCAGTCCCCTCTCAGCTGTTTTACTTACAGTGCAGGCAGGGCTGGAACAGCCTCTCTCAGGGAAAATGTCCACACTGGAGTTTTATCTTGTCACCAGAGCAACCTGCAACTGATCCAAAACCACACTGACTGATCCAGTACATCTCCTTACCACAGGACATTGTCTGAATTGCAGAACCTCAATGCAAATCTAAAGGCAGTCACTTGTACAAGGACTTTGAGTTGAACTGTAAACAGAGGATCCCTGGTCAGCCAAACTGCCTCAGAAAAGTCTAGTCAAAACGCAGAAGTGAGTTTAAACCAATTTGGGAGCAGCTCCCTATGCCACATGCTGCTTCCAGCTGTGACTATTACAAGAAACAGCTGGCTAGCAGGTGTTTGTGTGACCAGAAAACACTACTACCAGGGCATAGTCCCATAAAAAACACTCAGGTTTCTATTCCTTCTGGAAGAGTTGTCATTTCCCCAGCATATAGTGTAAGTCACCTTAATTTCAACAAGCAAACAAACCCAAAACTCAACAGTACAGTTGCCGTCTTGTTTTTCCAGAGGTCAGTGCCACATTTTGGACCAATAAATATGTCAGGACACTGATGTTACTTGGTCTGTTCTCAGGCAGCAGCCATGGGTGATGCTTTACAGAAAGCTGTTTTGATGTCACTGTGTGGTCACAAGCTTGACAATCATCCCGATGATCCGAGAGCCTCGGGGGCACATGCACAAATCCATGCTGGGATTCTTGATTTTATCCTGCAGCAGCTGGTCCAGCTCGCAGCGCAGCTCCTTCACCAGCTCAGCCACCTGGCACAGGGTAAAGCACAGAGGCAGGGGTAAGGCTCAGCTGCAGCTCAGCTCTGCAGCTCTCCCGGGATGGCCCCTCCTCCTCCTCCTCCTCCTCCTCACCTGGTGAGAGGCAGCCACAAAGCGGATCCAGCCATCATCCAGGGAGATGACAAAGTCCCCCTTGAGCAGCTGCATGTGCACCTGGCCGCCGCCCAGCAGCACCAGCGGGTACACGGACACCATGCTGCAGTCCCGGATGAACACACGGCTCGTCTTGATCTTCTCGTGGTACACCAGGTACGGGCTCTCAAAGTGCCTGGTCTGGGACAGGGACACGGCAGCCTGGTCAGAGTGACACTGCTCTTCCTGCCTCTGCCACACGGGCCAACTCTGCCTCTTCTGCAGCACTAACAGACCCTCCTGGAGACCCAAAAGAGCTGCCAACAACTGTTGGCTCCAGAGGCTGCAGTTTAACTCTGTGCCCAGGAGGACACTCCTAACTCAGGAATGCACCATCATTTACAGTCCTAATGCAGGACTGGTCAGTCATTAAGATTTTTTATTTTAAACATCAATAGGGATCCTCACTGTAATTTTAAACACTCAAGCAAAAGTGATTTCTTTTATAAAAAGAGAGCATGCTTTACAGAGAAAAGCATCTGACCTGATAATTCACAGACGAAGGATGAATATGAACATAACCATCATTTTTAGTAACAAACTTCAGCTCTTCTGCTTTTGGTTGCATTTTGACCGCTCCTGTACTGGTCTTCTGGTATTTACCCTCTGGCTTTTTCACCTGCATGGTAAGAAAAAAGGTTATAAAAACCTGCTGCACCAGAAAACCTTTTAACTTCACGTTTTAAAGTTTTCAAAACCAGAAATTCTGTAGTAGCAACATGTCAGGTCACTGGAGACAGGTATTAGACTCCAGCTGCTGTCCAACCCTGACTTCCTTTGTAACCTCAGCCTTCTAAAAAGGTGCAATTTTAAGTGGCTTCTTCACATTTCCTGCTGGCTTCTGTGTGACACTGTAATCAGCCTGTAGGAGCAGCAGCAGTCAGGCAATACAAACTGGAGCTCTGACACCACAAGCAGCAAACTTTGGCAACCCAAGCCAGGCTCAAGGCTGCCACACTGAGCCCAAATGAAAGCAAGGGTGTGTGGATATGCTAGACCAAAGAAGGGAAAATGAAAAAGCATTCTTTTACCTGGACAACATTGGGATACAGTGCAGCACACAGCATAGCTGAGATCAGCTTGATGTTCTCTGCATTCGAATTTGCCTGTGAAATCAATAGGGGATCATTAGGGATCCTACAGTTCAGTCTGTGAAGGTAAAACCCTGCTCCAGGAATGACTGAATTCCTGAAACTGCTTTGCTTTTACAGCTGCACTCCTGTGCTTTGTAGAGTAGGATGAGTCACTGCTCCTGCAGCCTCAGGTTGGACCTGGGCTGTGTTTCCTCCCACTATCAAGGGAACAAATTGGCCACCACTGTCCTGGTGCCCAGCTGAATTGGGACAAGTTGTCCCAAAGCACAGGAATCCTACAACTACCAAACCCTGATCACCCTGACCCCAGTCTTTCTGAAGACAGCCCACATGAAAAACTGCAGCAGCATTTTGAAGCACCAATGAAATGCTGTGAATTACCTCCTCTCCTGTGGCATCCAACACGCCATCGCCTCCTTGGGACCACTTCTTCTCAATATCCCTGGCTCTCAATCCCTCCTTCACAAAGCCAATGTCAGAAAGCAGCTCTGCAAACTGCCTCTTCAGACTGGCAATTTCCTACAACACACAGAGCTGTGATGGCTGCCACACCCAGCAGGAAGAGTCCTCCCCAGTGGCTCATTTCTGTCACTGGGATTCTGCCAGTCCCTGTGCCAGGCCACAAACACTGACCTACCTGAAGAACTCTTCCTGACAGAAAGTTCTCCCTGCAGTAGTTGTAGCTTGCCTGAGAGCCCTCTTTGATACTTAAACGCCATCCCTGATTGAGAGGATGAGAGGAAGCCTTTAATAAAACATTTCTGCTTGGATATCAAACACATCACAAAACCCCAAGAGAGGCTACTGAGTTTGAACCCACCTTATAGGCCTGGAGAAGAGCCAGGTAGTCACTGTTTCCTACTGCAAACTCCAGCTTCTTTTTGTTTGCTTCTTCCCTTTTATCCCATGGTGACACCTAGACAGGCAGTAACAGGTTAGTGTGTTCTTCCCCTCACCACTTGGACGAGCCATTCTAGAGCTACATGGCACATTCTCTTTGGTATTTTCACAGCACCTCACAGGTCAGAGTGCAAATTTTCCCCGTGGATAACAGAAAATATGAGGCATTCAAAAGAGCACCTGATTCAATAGCCAAAGTGACAGTGAAGACACAGAGACCCAAACTGAGCTCTGCATTCACAGCTCAGACGTGTCAGCTCCATCCATTATCACTATTTCACAATTTATATTACCAGTTATTTTCACACCAAATTCAGACAAAATGTCTGGACTTCTTAGCTAAAAATCAAAAATAACATTCCCTGTTTCTACTGTATACAAATACCACTCTTGCTGCTACCACATGGTTTTGAACTTCTGCTTATAACTGGACTGTTTTAACTAGCACTGCATTAACACATAAACAATTTAGGCTAAAAAGAAGAATTAAAATATCAAGTATAGCGTGCTGCAAGTCCCAACAGCATTTTGCTGCTGCACAAAAACACGGCCCTCTGGTTAAGAATACTTACAAAAGGTGACTTAAAGGCCAGGCTGGCTGCTATGGTCAGTGCAGGATCCAGGCAGCGGAAGATGGTGCCAAACAGCATGAGCTTGCCAATCCTGACATCCACAGGCAGTGAAGCCAGGTGGTATCCCAGAGGAGTGAGCTTCTCCTCCGGAGTTAACGCTCCCAGGTCCCGCAGCCGCACCTTTGATGCCTGCAAGGACTCAGTCCTGGGGGGCTCGATCAGTCGTGATAAGACAGAGTGAAGACTCTGCTCAGAAAACATCTCCAGGATCTTAATTCTTAAGAAGAGGGGAGGGAAAGTTAAAAAGACAAAACAAAGAAAGAAAAAAAGCAGCTTAGTTCCATATACAGGAAAAAACCCCAAGCTTTTGTAAAAACAGATTGAAAAAAGCAAACAGAAAACATGCATTGAAGCACACGCTCCCTAGAAGAGGGCCTGTTACACAAAGCTGAAGTCAGGGAGCAATGTGGAGTAGTGAGTCTGTAAGAACAGATTTCTATTTAGTACACTGAGGTTTAAAATGAAGTTTTTACTGCAAAACTGTAATTGGTGCTGCTTTGTTTCCTTTCAGTGTGCAGCATGCAGCAGGGACAGGAAGGCCTCTTCCTTCAATGTTTGTATGATGATGGTGCTTGCTGTGGGTTGTGGCAGGTGCTCCCTGCAGCAAAGGAAGGACATTCTGCACGCTGGCGTTTTCAGCAAACACAAGAGCTCACCTTAGACAGAGCTGCTCCAAGGGCACTCTCTGTATTTCTGGCAGCTGCTGTTTTACAAGGTGATGGTTGTAGTGGTGGCTGCTGAAGAGGTGGAAGCAGACGCCTGAGGCCACACGTCCTGCCCGCCCTTTCCTCTGCAGAGCATTGGCCTTGGACACAAAGGTGTCCTCCAGACTTTCCATTCCTTTGCTTGGGTCATATCTACAGGAGAGCAAGAGACAGGCTTGTATTCACACAGCCACAGAATGGTTTGGCTTGGAAGGGACCTTAAAGATCATCCAATTTCAACTTCCTCTGCCACATGCAGGGACAGTTTCCACTAGACCAGGTTGCTCAGAGCCCTCTCCAGCCTGGCCTTGAACCTTCCAGGGATGGGGCAGCCACAGCTTCTCTGGAAAACCTGTGCCAGTGCCTCCCCACAGTGAAGAATTTCCTCCCAACATCCAATCTAAACCTGCCCTCTTTCAGTGTGCAGCTATTTCACCCCTTGTCCTGTCACCCGCCCTTGTAAGGAGCACACAAAGAACAGGCTGGAGGCTGAGCAGGCAGATGCTGCCAACTTCTGTATGGATACAATTCCCACCCCTGCACTTGGATCTGAGCTTAGACTGGCTTTTTCCACCTCACAGCAGCTTTCTACAGCCCAGGTTTCCTTCCAGTTTTTCCCAGCTCTTTGGAAAACTCACGGCTTGAAACAGTTTACAAAACCCCAAGGAATGAATGCCAGTACCTTTTCTCTTTCATTTTTCCAGAGTCAATCACATAGACCACATCGTCGATGGTGACAGATGTCTCTGCAATGTTGGTAGAGATGATGATTTTGGTAACTCCTGCAGGAGGCCTGAGGAACACAGACTGCTGTTCTTCACTGGACAGTGAGGAATGAAGTGGATAAACCACACACCTGCAAGGACAACAGGACAAGATGCTCAGGGCATCTCCTTCTGGTAGCCTCTTCCTTCTTGGTAACAATGTGCCTGCACACACTTTTGCCTCACTGATACTGCCCAGAGTGTTACTGCTCCTTGTAACCATCCGAGGCCAAACACTACCACAACTAAATGTAACTCAGCAAACATTCTGAGATTTCAGCAGCCTGGATCATGCAGAGCACAAAATGGAAACCACTCCTCACTAGGATCTCTGAAAACTTCAACAAGTGACCTTCTTGAGCTGAGGAGAAAAACAAAAGGAGGGGGCCAACAAGATAGAAAAGGAATTACCCTGACTGGAGTCAGCTCACACATTTAATCAAGCTAATTTATCCCTGGATAAAGGCGGGCTCTGTGCAGGAAATGACTATTTATGGGTAAAGACTGACAGTTTTGGAGCTTTTCTGCCTTACCTCTTGCTGTGCCTGTTATTAAAAAGAGCATTAGTCTGAAGCTGCTCATAAAGCATCTTGATTTCTGCTAGGCCAGGCAAAAATATCAACACAGCACCTATATATGTAGATAAAAAAAATTAAAAATCACTCAACAAAAAAGGACAGCACAATATTTTATTAATGTGCAGTTCTTGTACTAAAAAAGCACACAGGCTGTAACAGTCCTTCACAAAAGACTTCTCAAAATAGACAATTTTCTCACCTTCCCCCTCCGATGTATATCACAAACTTTGGAACTCAACTAGCAATTTATTTTTTTCAATAATAGTCAGTAGCTACAGAACCTCTGCATGCAAATCATTAGCTTTGGGCTTTCCAAGAAACTTCCAAGAATCTTTTTTCATTTATCTCCCAAGGACAATGAAATTACCTGGGGGGTATGAATGTCTGCCAGCAACTATCCATTCCAGCAAGGCTTCAATTAATTCTAGATTAACTTTGTCCAAGTCCATGACAGACATTGTTTTCAACACTGCCTTGCTAACCCCTGGGAAAAAAGAAATAAAAGATGCAGTAAATCCGTGTCTTGTAAAAAACATCTGTGGATGCATGGGACCAGTGACAGCTTTGTTCAAAGAGCACTTGGCTTAGACCTGAAGGGGGCAGATCCATGCTGTGCCTCAAGCAAAGCTGCTTCAGCAAGAACAGATACAGAGAGCAAAGTGGAACTAAGAAAGCATCTGAAAAGGGATGGAAAGAGACAGTAGCTGAAAATTGTCCATTTTTTTGCTAAGAGCTAGTTTCAGCCAAGATCTTTGCTAATAGTTTAAGAGAACAATGGGTTCTCTTTTATTTTTTTTAAACTAGCAGGAAGTTTCTCATCTAGAACTTCACAAGTGCAAAACTCCGAATTACAGTTAAGCATTCAGCCTACAGTGATAATATTCCATGCTGTCTGCGTGCCAATTTATTAAATTTAAGAAGGAGTTCACCTTTATATCGTGTAAGGAGCTGCTTCAGAGTTAACTTCTGGTCTGGATCTGAATCTCTGACCACGGTCTCAGTGGTTTCCAGAAGGCCAGCACGCCTCAGGTCTTCCTCTACTTCTTCAAATGCAGTTCTTTTGTGTCTCCCACTCTGTTCTTGCTTTACCTTCCTCCTGTAGGGACTGCTGTCCTCTAAAACATACCTGGGCAGCAAAAGAACATTTGGTAGTGTGGAAAGAAGCCTAACAGTCTCCTTCTAATAATTAACTACAAATAGGGTATCTAAAATATTTTTAAGTCTGAGAGGAACTTTGTACAAATCATAGATAATATGAAGGTCAAGGTGCTTTAGTAGAGCCCCAAGAGTGCAGGTGATGAGGGAGATCTGAGAGGATTTACTTTTAAAATAAATGCACAGAACTACTGCAGTCTCAAGGTCAAAAGTGTAACCTCAACCTCACCATCCAAATACATCTGAGAACGTGTTTATTTCACACCTTGTCATTGCAATCACATCTTCCAGAAAAAACTGGTCCACAGGAAACGTTCGACCTGAAAGAAAACACAAGAATAAATCTATCTACACAATAAATCTATCTACACAACAGATGGAGAAAAGAGGAAAAATACCAAAGACTATTGTAATTTTATACAGGTCATTATGACATACACTGGCTGCACAGCTCTCATCTACACTGCACTCTTTAACACAATTTCTGACTAGGACAAGCAGTGGGTGTCTTCCAAGCATGGAGTGTTCAAGGCCAGGTTGGATGGGGCTTTGAGCAACCTGGTCTAGTGACAGGACATCCCTGCCCACGGCAGGAGGTGAAACTAGAGGACTTCTAAGGGCCCTTCCATCCCAAACCAATCTAGGATTCCATGGTAACATGCACGATGCACTCACACAGGCAGAGAAGGGTAGATGCACCTAGGGGAACACACCCATATTCCCCTCCAGCTCCACATCATAACTCAGCAATTTAAAAGGCACGTTGGGCTAAACATGTACACATCCAGCTGGATCCTCTCACTGATCCTTTTCTCACAAGGATACAGGAGAGTCTTCAGCTGTGGTGAAACTAACCCAGGGAACCATGTCATGTGCACACCATATAATGATTGTCTTCTGAGGGGGGAAATTCTGCTGGTATACAGACAGCACAAAAATGTCAACATTCCCAAGTCCTTTCTCTCCTAAATCTCATCAGTCTCTCCCCCTAAGTCTTGAGCTTCGAATTTCTGGCATACATCCTCATCTTGAATTGAGAAACACTTTGCAAGAAGAAATAGTGAAAACAAATCTCTAAAACGATGAATGACAATAAAAATGAATGGTTTTCACCTGGTATGTTAATGATTGGACAGGAGTGGAAGTACTGAGAGAAAAGCTCAGCATTCAGGGTGGCACTCATCAGTATAATGCGCAGGTCTGGCCTCTGAACCATTATATCCTTCAAAACCAGCAGCAGGAAGTCACTGAAGAAAACGGGCAAAAGAACTTGAGTGTCTTCAGCATTAACTTTCAGATTATTTTTCTCCCCTTCTGTCTACCTTCCTGGTGTTTTCAACAGTACAGCAACACCATCACAGAAGCATGAGCTTGTTGGAACTGCCTAGTGAAAAGCAATCTGCAAATCTGACTCTTTTCTGGTTGTCCCTTACTGGAGTGTCAGGATTACTTAGCAAAACCATTTAAACAAAAAGTTTTATAAATTACTTACATTAATGAAAACACAAGAACATCAGATAAGAAATTAACTCAAAGTAACAGATGAGTCCTTTTTGCTCCTCTTCTTCACTGGAAGAGTTACTACAAACTTACCCACTCTTCCCTGCTCACTGTATTTTTCCCTCTATCCCTCTATATTTATAGCTTTTGTGGCATGACTACAAGACGGGCTTGAAGTGATTTTAAATGAGAAGGAACAGGAATCTTTGAGAGACACAAGCACTTTTAAGTGGCTAAAATGCCACTTGAGCTGCAGAATAATGGGTAAGAGACAAAGCCTCCTAGAAACCCATTGCACTGCAGTGTTTGACAAGGAAAACAAACAAAAGGATGCTTTCCACCTAATTTACAAAGATACTGACAGATGTTATCTTTTGCCTGTGATCAGGAGGCAAGTGAGGTAAAACTGCAGGAGCTAGAGCAGGATAGGATGAAACTGTCTAGTAAAATCTACAGACTGGAAGGAAATGTGAGCATTTGTCCCTTGCTCTGCTGAAGCCTGCATGTGAAGAATTACGGTATTTGATAAAAGTTGAAACAAGAAAACCGTAAGGAACAGCTTTGGTTAAAGTTACTTAACCCTCCAGCCCTATCCAAAACCTCTTTGCAACACTGCTGCAATGTGAGGGCGCTTTGGAGGCACAGCAATTTCTGAGAGATGTGGTTTCTCACAAGCTGCTGCAGCACAATTCCCTACTGCTCAAAGACAAGAACCTAAACCCAGACTCCTTCCACCATCCCATACCACTGCCACAGGATCAGCTACTTGCACCTTAGCCACCTTTAACTAGGTTTCTTCATTTTGCTTACAGGGTAAGAGATTATTTACCTTTCTTCTGTTCTTTCGTGAACTTCATCAACAATAACATGAGTGACTCCCTGCAAAGTCAGATCTCCTTCCAGCCTTCTCAACAGCACACCAGTAGTGCAGTACAAAAGCCTGGTAGCTGAGGACTTGAAGGGTAAGACAAAGCATTCAGTTGACTCTGGGCAAATTAACACAGTGCAAAGAGAGTATGTGCTGCTGTAAAGCATTTGGTTTCAGCTCAGTGCCAGGTTTGACTGAGAGGGAACAAGCAAGCCCTGCTGGAGATGGATTTTTATTTCTTGACTGACACTGACAACACCCGCTTCTTACCTAGGGGCATTGCTACCTATCAAAACATATGAACTGCTTTTCCTGTGGATACAGTTTTCTGATAAACAACTCAGATCTCTCTTCCTAGGAAGATTTGGTGAATCTCTTTTTTAGCATACATCTTGGAAAAAGCAATCAGCTTGTAACACAGACAAAACTTCACTTCCAACACAGCAGTTTCTGTCTGGTTGTAGTTGCACCCTCAGTCTCCACTTGGGAGACACATGGGAATGGCAACAGGCAGAAAAGCAGCCAGCAGCCTTCCAAAGGACAGCAGGATTACTCACACTCTCAAACCCCCTCACCTTGCTCAACAGAAAACAAACCCACAAGACACAGCACTGCCCTCTCATTCTGCAAAGTGAACTGTGCAACTTGAGATGAAATAAAATACAGAACATGTTTCATAGTATTTTGTAAATATAGATGATACAAACTTGCTTATGTCACTGCATGGCAGGTTTAGGGCAGAGATTCTGTACACTAGAGAAGCACTAAACACATTTTAATAGGAGTAAATGAAAACCAGCAAGCAAAGCATATGTACCTTGACACTTTCCAGACGGATCTGATAGCCAACAGTGAGTCCAATCCTTTCTGTTCTTTCCTTGGCTACACGTTCAGCCACAGAAATGGCAGAGATCCTGCGAGGTTGAGTGCAGATGATGTTTGCAACTCTGCTTGGAGAGCCTTGCAATGAAGCATCCAAGATAAACTGAGGAATCTGAGTGGTTTTCCCACATCTGCACAACAAAATCAGGAATTAATTAAAAACCCCACAAATGCAACACCTTCCACCCACATAAATTGACTGCATTCCACTGGAAATTTCCTTTGTTTCATTAGTGTGATCCTTCACATGAAGTTCACCTAGGACTGCTGTCACTGGTTACACTGGTCACAGATGAGCCACCACGCCAACCTTTCCAGAACATGGACCGTATTTCATCTTATTCTGTGTATATTTGAGACATAAAGTCTGTATGTGCAATCACACTCTTACCCTGTCATGCCACTCACAACAAGAACTTGGTGGGTCTCAAGCAAACCCAGAATGTTTTCTCTCTCTTGCCATGCAGGGAGCTTCTGTCTTTCATACAGCATGGACTGAAAGTGCCTGGAAGACTGATGGACAAAGACAGCACAGCAGTAAGAACACCACTGGATGGAATAGAACCATCTGAAACAACAGCTTGTCTCTGTAATGTTTTATTTCTCTAAAGTAAGCAACAAAACTGTGTTCTGCACATTGTACCTTTTTCTGCCGAAACTGCGCGCAGATTTTAACATTTTCGTTATACAGAGACTTTGCCTGCACATCATACTTTTTGGAAAGCTTCTTCTTCAAGTTCACATAACTCTCATTCTCCACAACAACTTGTTCAGGCTCTTCCTCCTCCTCTTCTGCCACCACCTCTTCTTCTTGAGGCTCTGACACTATTGAGGCTTGAGACAGAGAGTGTACAGCTAAATATTGTTATTACTAAGGAACAGGCAATGAAGGAAAGAGAGACACGTTCCAGCAGCATTTCCAACAAAGAACCTTGTTAGACTGGGCCTGAGGGTCTGCAGGGCTGTTTCTGACATGTATTTAGCTCAACACCACCAGCACACCTCCCCTCACCTCACCAAATCACCCACAGCTTCTCCAGCCCCATCCCACTTGTCCCTACCCCTGCACCAGGGTCTGGGTGGCCACACATGGTTAAGTGGTTTGCCTTCCTGCACATTTTCCATGTGCCTCAGCTCACTTCTCCAATACACAACCACTCCTATGCAGCACAAAATGCTTATAAATTAGGGTAGTTTTAATTAATTAAGTATTAAGTCACTGCCAGATACTTTTAAACTAAAGCTGAAACTGGACCAGCTACTTCAGCACCTTTGCCTATCAACTGAAGCAGGATTTGCTCAGGCTGTCAGCCAGCCCTTGAAAGTTTTAAGGCTATTTTTACTTAAAAAAAAAGGTATTTTATAGCATAAGGAATATTTTATAACTAATGAAAATCATTTGGAATCTCAGTTTCTGGAACACAGCTGTTTTGCTGCAGAAGTGTTCAAAAAATGGAATACTTTGTCTTACTTCAGAAAAAACAGTTTGTCACTATTTAAGAGCTCTAGAACTCTATGCACTTGAAAACTGTCTTGAAAAAAGCTTGCCTTAGATAAAAGTAGTTTTGGAATTGAGTGCTGGAAAGTCACCCTCCCACAAGTGACACAGACTCAACTCTCCCCCTGTGAAAACAACCTGTCTGCACCAGCATAAATAGAATGGGATGATACTTGAACAACATTCTATAACCACTTTCCACATTTGCTCAGCCTTAAATCCACCTTTGTAAGTTAATTTTGAGGAGCTGCTGGTAATTTTAAGTAATCTGAAAAAAGAGGTTTCTGAATTTATGAGTTGCAGATGCAGCAAAGCTTGCAAACAACCTTTCCTGTTCCCTTCCAAGCACACTTCTCTGGTCCATTCTGGCAAGCTCACATCTCCCAGTGCTTTCCATGGATTGTGTGGCAATGGGCATCACTCACTCTGCCAAAGCAAACCCTGCTCCCAGAACTCAGTTCTGGCCAGCACAAAACCTCTCTGCTGCAGCTTGATTACAAAAGGAACTTCCTGAGGCACTGACAGATCATGGATCTGGCTCACCACATGACTTCAATCTCCAGAAATAGATTTGGAACAGATGGCTGAACTGGGGGCTCTGCCTTATCTCCCTTTTTTCCTTTTAAATCTTTCTGACTGTTCTTAGCCCAGAAACCATAAAGGAGATTTGGTGTACCTTCAGCCTGTTGATTTGAAGCAGGTGCACTCTCTGTCTGTGGCTTTACAGGAGGTGCTGCCAGCAGGGAGACAGGAGGAACACTGAACTTGTGATGAGTATTGCTCAGGAGCTCACTGATCTCGTGTTCATCTTCTAAACAAGTCACCAAGGTGTACACCACCGGCTCATGAGACTCTGCAGCTGCCAAGGCCTTTCCAAAGAGGAATTCAGCAATGTGCAGACGACAAGCAAGAGGCAGATTCTCGTCAGTGGAGTAAAATGCCACAAGAGGTGCTTGAAGAGGATACTTGTTCTCATCAGGAAATCTCACTTCAAGTTCATAGATGGGACCATCACTGTCTCTGAGATGAGCATCATCTACAGAGTTCTTGGATGTGTTTAATGGATGGTTTGGGGGGAATTCATGCCTAAATCTGCATTTTGAACCAAACCTGCAGCCTCCTTGGAGGTAAAATTTACATATTTCCTTTGAAGTCTGTTTTGCTGTGTCCTTTGTACTTTTTTGTTTAGATTTACTGAACCTGTGTGCTAGGTAGTCCAATTCCAAACTGAAAGTCCAAACACGATTTTTAATCCTTTCTACAAACTTTTCTCCATAAATTGACCGGAGGGCAAAAGCTTCTTCTTGTCTCTGCTCTAAACATTCCTCTTGACTGGCTTCAGCAGCTGCTGCAGAAACCTGCATCTTCTCTCCATACTTTTCAGAGAAGCACTGCAATAGCAAATCCTCCAATGAGGCCCCAATATTACCATTGCAGGATCTCAGCACTGCCCTACAGCGCTCGCAGTCAAAACCGTACCTGCACCAAAACAGAGAAAACAGGGCAACAAGTGAGTGAGAGGCTCGTGTGAAGCAAAATAACCACAGACCTGCTTGACCAGGCTCACAGCAAGGGAGCATGCATGGCACTGCCTCACACCTCAGAATGCAGCACTTAATAGTTTCAGGGTTAGACTTCCCCACTCCACTACAGAAACTGAACCCTTCAGAAAAAGCTGTCACATATAAAAAGCTCCCAAACAAGCAAAAGTATTGAATAACTATTAACATCTGAGCAAAATGGATGAAGAACACAAGGAGGGCTTACAGAGTATTGAGACCAGGGATCTACCTCTTCATGATACATATTATTCAGTAAAGCATCACCTGGAGAGTTTGTGCACAGCAAATGAAGACACTTCACTGTCCACAATTCTGTGCTCAGCTGGCTCAGCAGACAACCTTGGCATTGCATCAGAAGCTTCCTGTTCTGTTGACCAGCACTGTTCATCATCCAGGTAATCAGGCTCATCATCATCTTCTCCAGCTACACTGATAAAAAGAGTTATCAAGTTAAAATGAAACAAAATTAAAATGTTGAGTAGACATAAAACTCTGCCTCTGCAGTTTTAAATCCTTCATTTAAATGGTAGATTTGGCTAAGCCTTTCCCAGAGTTAATACTGTAGACAAACAAAGCAGAGTCAAAACCATAGGATTTGAGATATAATTAAAAGTTAAGGGGAAAAATACTGTTTCCATTTCTAACGGTATGCCTGCTAAAGCACGCTCATGTAGAGAAGATGGAAGTAGTGCCTCCATTTCAACTAACTCTGATTCAGGTGCCAGCTCCTGTCCTTGCAGCTCTTGAAGGAGTTCTTTCACTCTTCTCTGGTTCTCTGATGTCATGTGTATGGTCTGCAGAGGCATTCTTGCTTCAGGTCTCTGCTTCATTTGCCCTCCTCTTCTGGCAGGGGCACTTGATCTGAAAATTAAAATAGGACACAACCATGAGTTATCTGCTGGCTCAAATGTTCTTTACTGAATTGGGATGTTGGGGCCCAAACTTGTAATTCAAAACAGGAAAATCAAAATAATCAAAATAAGATAAATCCGTCACCTAAGGATTATTCAGCTGGAGTCACTCTTATGTGACCATGATTTGTGAGTCTTTATCTGCACACACATGTGCATACATGTATTGTATCCTATGTCGAATCCAAAATTATTTAATGAACACTTTGCTAGGTAAAGCTGTTCTTAGACTACAATACAACCACATATTTCTAAGCTAGATGGGTCAAAACTCACACAGGATACTAAAATAATTCTAAATTGCTGATTTTCCGTGGCCCAGCTTCTGTTTTGTAATACACAAATATTAATATCCTGTGTTTATTAATGTGTTCTGACCACAAGTGTCCTGAAATTACTTTATGACCAAAGAAGAAAATCAGAGGTTATAATCTTCAAAAAATAAAACACTTAGCTAGGTATCAAATCCATAAAACATTAATCAAAACAGACATGTAAAAACTGCTTCATACTGAAACACTTTCATCACTCTTTCACTCTTCTCTGTATTCAAACACATCCAAAAACCAGCCCCAAATGTCTATGGATGTCAACATACAAAAAGTATCTCAAATGGTCCAGAGTATCTCAAACACCTCTATGCCAACCCCCTCCAAACCAACAGAAATACCTGGATTCTAGCCTAGGTTCCTCAAAGAGACAAAAATCATCTCCATCGTCCCAAATTTTGGTTGAACATTTCCTACTTCCACCGAGCTGAGGCTTGTTTGAATGGCCACTGCCGCCTCCTCGTTTTCCACCGCCTCCTTTGCCTCGTCCTCCTCCTCTGTTGGGCTTTCCTTTTTTCCTCGCTAACCAACTCATGTTTCCTTGGAGAAGAAGAGGAAAAAACAGTCCTTAGTTGTGAAGGTGATTAAGCCCATCACCATGTGTATGTCTGAGCACACATTATTTGTTTTCCTATGTGACAAGGCACCCTCTCAAACCACTGTTGATTGTCTGCATGTTGGTGTGTCTGTATGCACATGGAGCAAAAAGTATTCTTCTGGAACATTGTTTAGTGAGTTCTGTGGCTTTAGAAAATAAAAGTAATATTCCTCAGCCAAAAGCTGCAAGTTTAACAAGATTCTCTGTCAAAAGCATGAGCCTACATGCTCATGTGGAGCCCTCTTGGACACAGAAGCCCACAGGACAAACCTTCAAGGGAAATTTCACAGAAGCCTTGTCCCGTCACTTTTTAACTCAGCAGCGTGTGCAGGGCTGAGGCTAAAAGGTGGAAGGGGAGCTAAAGCCCAAGATGCAATGTTTTTTTTTTTCACATTATCTCACACTGGGCTCCCTTCTGCAGGGAGCTGCCCATGCTGCTGAGCCTGGCCAGGGGAGTGACTGGACTTGTCCTGGCAAACAGGCGGCCTCCTCCCTTCTCTTGGCAGCGTCTTTCCAGCGCTGACAGCCCAGCCCATCAGCGCTGCCCAGCATTAACACATCCTCCAGCTGCACCTCCTGCTAATGGGACAGGTGAGCAGCTGTGGGCAGCCCGGCAGGAATTTATTCCCTGGATCTTTGCACTGGCACCTCCACAGCCAGGACAAGACCTGATGCGGCCGCGCACAAGTATCAGCTCAAACGAGGGCTTGGGAAAGAAGCAAGTTTCCTTTTTTCTGGCCGCTTTCCCCACTCCAGCTCCACTGGGGCTGGCCAGGAGCTCACAGCCAAGCTGACCCCGCCCGGGGCAGTTCGGCAGAAGCGAGGGACGGAGAAGGGAGACCATGGCAGGTCCCCCGAGGGAGGGAGAAGGGAGACCATGGCAGGTGTCCCGAGGCCTCTGTCACACACGGTTCCGTCTCCTCCCTCTCAGCTCAGAGCACAGAGCCCCGGGCAAGGAGCAGCTCCGCCGGCTCGTCCCGCCCTTCCCCATGGCACCTTCCCCATCCTGGCTGTCTGGGGACCTCCATCCTCTCCCAGCCCCGCGCTCCCCGGACCCCGTCCCCTGCCCACCTCCCCTCAGCCGAGCCCCCGCGCAGCCCCTTCCCCTCCATCCCCGCTCTCCCCGGAATCGTGACACGCCCCGCAGCTCCACCACTCCTTTTCCTCAGCGTTCCCACCTCTCTGCCCGGTACCTCCCGGACTCCCCGATCCGGATCCGCGGCGTTTCCCTTCCGGGCCACGGCACCTCCGCCCGCCCCGGCCCGCCCCGCTCCTGCCGCTCCGCCCCGCTCCCCGCGCACAGCGCCCGGCGCTGGGAATTGCGTGTGGCTTTAGGCTGCCGTGCGTTTTAATATCTCTGTGTGTGGGGCTGGAACAGTGACACCCGCTGTTTGTTTGTTTCTCAGCAGGCATGCTGGTTTTTAAAGTAGCTCTCGTATTCCCGAGTGAAGACGAGAACAATGCTTGGAAATCTTGGTCGGTGCTCGCTCCACCAAGCCACGGGTTCCTGAGGGAGCTGGGGAGGGGCTCGGCCTGGAGAAAGGGAGGCTCGAGGGGTCTTTATCACTGTCTGCAATTCCCCGACAGGAGCAGCCAGGTGGGGGTCAGCCTCCTCCCCTGGGTTACAAGTGACAGGAGGAGAGGAAACAGCCTCAAGTTGTGCCAGGGAAGGTTTAGATCGTCTACTAGGAGATGTATTCAGGGAAAGGGTGGCCAGGCATTGGGGTAGGCAGCCCAGGGAAGCACCATCCTTGGAAGTGTTAACCCCGGGATGTGGCACTTGGGGACTGCCATGGGTTGTTGGTGGGCCTGGCTGGGTTGGGTTAATGGCTGTACTCAGTGATTGTGGAGGTCTTCTCCAACCTCCGCTGCAAAACCCAGTGTGGGACTAAAAGGGAGGAAAGTGATACCAGTTTCAGGGTGAGGGTGACATAAGTGACAAGAGCCCCCAAAGCTGTGTCACTGCGGTGGGGAAGGCCTCGCTGCAGGTCCCTGCACACACAGGGTCGCCCATGACAGCTGCCCTGCAGCACATCCTGTCAGGTCTCAACTCTATGGATGGAGATTCCACAACCCCTCCAGGCAACCTGTATTGGGTTGGAGTTTAAAGAAAAAAAAATTACACACTAGCTTGGCTGTGTAAGAACCACCACAGCCCCCAACCCAGAGACAACACCTGCCATGAGGGTGTTTCCTCAGGGTCCTTCTGCAGATGGTAGCTACAGCCACCACTCTGGTGGTCCATTTGGGTCTGCTTTGCCCCAGAGAGGCAGAGCACCCCTTCCCCACCACCCCCACAAGGGGAAGAATGGTTCATAGCAATGCTGCTGACTCACATTTCGTGCCACCCAAATGTGCCTGCTCCAGCAGGGCTTATGTACTCCATGGACCCACCTCTGGGAACAGCCTGTCCACTGGGATGGAGACTCAGTTCTGGGAGAAGTGGTTCTCTACAGCTGAAGAAATGCATTGCATGATCTCACGGGGTTTTGCCTCTCAGATGCCTTCTTGTCTTGAAGTGAAAATACTTATATTCTCATACATATATACACTGTTCTCATTTTCTAGAGGCGGACTGCAAAAGGACATCTGAGTTTGTGCTTGAGGGGAACAGTCAATTTTGTTCAATTTTCTTGTTTTTTGCTTCTGAAATAGCCAGCTCAAAAAAAACCCCAAAAAACAACAACAACAACAACAACAACAAACCCCTAAACCTAAGCAACAACAACAACAAAACCAAACCAAAATAAACACACACACACCCACACACAAAAAAAAAAAAAAAAAAATTACTCTGTCCTCTGTCCCTAGACCTTGACTTCATAGGTAGCAGCATCTTCCAGAGAGCTTCTGTTAACTTAGGAGCCTGTCCTTTCAGCTCCTTTGCTAGGGCTCCACATTTATCTCAGCTGCACAGCAATTATACTGATTTAGGCTGTGCAGTTTCACATTTCACATTTTCTGCCCGGAGGGTATCTTTGAAGCAGATCTTTGTCTTTCAGGGAGAAATCAGTCTGCCTTTTGTTACTGTGCCTCCTCCTTTATGTCTCCCTGTTCTTATGCTTCAGAGTAGCTCGGTGGACTGGCCCAAGCACTGCCGGACAGCCCTGCCTTTGGGTTACTTGCATTCTCCACATGGTCCCTTTGGGGCAAAGAGCCCTCCCCTTAGGGAAGAAATTGAGCAGGTGTGGAGGGCTGCTGCTCCCCACCCTCCAAACCCTTATTTATTTTTACTCAAAAGAAAATTTTTCATCATCTAGCAAGAAACAGAAAATGCTCAAGTGCTGGTTTGTGTTGCTGCTCTCCTGCCATGGCTACTTTGGCAGCCTTGCCCTTGGCCCCTGTGCCTTCTTGGCCTTGGCATCCTTAGGAAAGCCAGGGTGTCAGCAGGCAGGGAGGAGCTGGTCCTGTTTCCCTGTCCCCAACTGGAGGCTGTCTTTTTTGGATGCCACAGGCGGTCCTTAAGGTCCTCTGGGCCTGGCAAAACAGCAGGGCCACAGCAGCCAGTGCACGGCCCCACATGGCCCCACTGCCGTCACTTCCCAGGGCTCCTTGCCCTCCCTCCCTCCCTCCCCAGCCCTGTGCTATGCTAATTAAAAAGTCAGAAATTCTGCATCGCCTTCCTCCAAGTGCACAGTCCTGGTTTTTGCATGGGCACATGAGGATGTGACCCGAAGATTATATAATTAGAAGGTTTTTGTTATGCTTGCATTTCAAATCAGTGATTAGCATGTGACAGTCCCATCCTGGGAAACGTCAAGCCACCATTGCTCTCCTCTCTCTCTCTCTCCTTTCTTGCACAGTGCTAATTCCCAACTCTAGCAACCAGCAGTGCTGAAGGATCTTCAACTAGCCTGGGGTAAGTTTAAAATGTACTCGGCTTGGGATGAAGAGTGGGGTTAATGATGCCATTTTCATATTATGGATAAAGCTAGAGCCATAACTAATTATATTGTGTGTGCAGCACATAAAATGATATTTAAAGTGTTTTGCATCTTCAGTGTCCACAGTTATTTTTAGCTGATTTCTTCTACGATTCTGAATGGAGATCTAGCTTCTTAGTGTGCTGGACAATCTTGTTAGGCTGCATTTATAGTGAGGTTTCTAAAATAGTTAAAAAGGCTTTTTTTTTTTCTCTCACCATTTACAAGCTAAATTGAAGTGTCATGCTGAATTGACTTATTTGGATGACAGCTGCATTAGAGTTAGTTGGACACAAAGTGCAAGAGTGATGAGAGTAAATAACTGATTTTTTGTTCTCTTTAGAGGACTGGGGGTTGTTCTCCAAGTGGGATATTTAAAACAGCCAGCAAGATCAGCCAGCAGCACTGAGACACTCACCAGGAAGATCCCAAGCATTTATTTAGGAAAACTGTGGATGCTTAATAACTGAAGCAGCAAAAGTGCACATGGATTCCTGCACTGTTACCCATGGCATGATTTCAGAAGCAGAATGAGGCAGGAAGCCAGACGAACAGTAACAGTTCTGCTCCAAGCTAGGCTGTGGATGCTTTACTGAACCCTGCCTGCTTGCATGCTGAAGCTTGGTGTATCCCTCAGTCTTTTTGATCTGTGATCCTCTGCACAGCTGATTCTCTCCCCCAGCTGTGCCATTCCATGTGGGGGGAGCGCTGGGAGGGGGAGCACGGTCACACAGTTGCAGTTCAGGCTGCAGGAGCTGCCTCCCCTCTCTGCACTGTGCATGGCTTGTGCAGGAACCCCACTCCTGTGCTGCCTCAAGGGCACAAATCACTGGGACCTCATCCATCCATCCATCCATCCATCCATCCATCCATCCATCCATCCATCCATCCATCCATCCATCCATCCATCCATCCATCCCTCCCGTCTCCCTCAGGGATCTGATGGGAAGTGGGTGCTGGCCCAGGCTCTGTTAACAGGCTGGCTGCTGTGCTGGGCAGGAGGGGCTGCAGTGCCAGCT